TATATTTTAAAGCCTAACCCAGACACACTAAACAGGCCCAAAGGGAACAGCAAACTGACTATGTCATATTTCATCGTATGTTTGTTTTTAAACGCCAAACTCCGAATATTCGATGTTCAGACATTTATTAAACAGAGATCAATATCACATGTAGATAATTCATAGGACACGTGTACGGGAAGGGTGTTGCTCAACTACATGTCCTGGTGTATCGTCGTGTTGTAAGGAGAGTAGGCCAGGTTACGTATAGTCCAGCTACATGTCCTGGTGTATCGTCGTGTTGTAAGGAGAGTAGGCCAGGTTACGTATAGTCCAGCTACATGGCCTGGTGTATCGTCGTGTTGTAAGGAGAGTAAGCCAGGTTACGTATAGTCCAGCTACATGGCCTGGTGTATCGTCGTGTTGTAAGGAGAGTAAGCCAGGTTACGTATAGTCCAGCTACATGGCCTGGTGTATCGTCGTGTTGTAAGGAGAGTAGGCCAGGTTACGTATAGTCCAGCCACATGGCATGGTGTATCGTCGTGTTGTAAGGAGAGTAGGCCAGGTGACGTATAGTCAAGCTACATGGCCTGGTGTATCGTCGTGTTGTAAGGAGAGTAGGCCAGGTTACGTATAGTCCAGCTACATGGCCTGGTGTATCGTCGTGTTGTAAGGAGAGTAGGCCAGGTTACGTATAGTCCAGCTACATGGCCTGGTGTATCGTCGTGTTGTAAGGAGAGTAGGCCAGGTTACGTATAGTCCAGCTACATGGCCTGGTGTATCGTCGTGTTGTAAGGAGAGTAGGCCAGGTTACGTATAGTCCAGCTACATGGCCTGGTGTATCGTCGTGTTGTAAGGAGAGTAAGCCAGGTTACGTATAGTCCAGCTACATGGCCTGGTGTATCGTCGTGTTGTAAGGAGAGTAGGCCAGGTTACGTATAGTCCAGCTACATGTCCTGGTGTATCGTCGTGTTGTAAGGAGAGTAAGTCAGGTTACGTATAGTCCAGCTACATGGCCTGGTGTATCGTCGTGTTGTAGGGAGAGTAAGCCAGGTTACGTATAGTCCAGCTACATGGCATGGTCTATCAATAATCGAGCCTGGTCCAGATAATCCAAAAAATGATATATTGAGCATCGATCTAATCAACCAAATCAGCGAGCCCGACCACCCGATCCCGTTATTCGTCTCTTTCGACAGGCATTAGTTGCTTTTGCCTATTCTTCACGGGTCGTCGAATTGGGATTTTGAGGATTTCACAAACCTCAAAACTCTGCTCCTTTTCTCTGAATACACAAAGGAAACGGGTGTTTCATTGTAGAGAGTGAGTGAGTGAGTGTGAGAGTATGGTTTTACGCCGCTTTTAGTAATCTTCCAGCAATATCACCAGAGACACCAGAAATGGGCTTCACACGTTGTACACATGTTGGGAATCGAACTCGGGTCTTCGGCGTGACGAGGGAACGCTTTAACCACTAGGCTACCCGACCGTCCCGTGTTTATTTATTATGAAGATTAAATATGTGGAAATGATCGATAACAAACACGGCGGAATGTGGATGGATGATCGATAACCATCATGGTGGAATGTTGGATGGATGATCGATAACCATCATGGTGGAATGTTGGATGGATGATCGATAACCATCATGCCGGAATGTGGATGGATGATCGATAACCATCATGGCAGAATGTTGGGTGGATGATCGATAACCATCATGGCGGAATGTTGGGTGGATGATCGATAACCATCATGGTGGAATGTTGGATGGATCATCGATAACCATTATTGTGGAATGTTCGATGGATGATCGATAACCGTCATGCCCGAATGTGGATGGATGATCGATAACCATCATGGCGGAATGTTGGGTGGATGATCGATAACCATCATGGTGGAATGTTGGGTGGATGATCGATAACCATCATGGCGGAATGTTGGGTGGATGATCGATAACCATCATGGCGGAATGTTGGGTGGATGATCGATAACCATCATGGTGGAATGTTGGGTGGATGATCGATAACCATCATGGGGGAATGTGGATGGATGATCGATAACCATCATGGCAGAATGTTGGGTGGATGATCGATAACCATCATGGCGGAATGTTGGGTGGATGATCGATAACCATCATGGTGGAATGTTGGGTGGATGATCGATAACCATCATGGTGGAATGTTGGATGGATGATCGATAACCATTATTGTGGAATGTTGGATGGATGATCGATAACCGTCATGCCCGAATGTTGATGGATGATCGATAACCATCATGGCGGAATGTTGGGTGGATGATCGATAACCATCATGGTGGAATGTTGGATGGATGATCGATAACCATCATGGCGGAATGTTGGGTTGATGATCGATAACCATCATGGCGGAATGTTGGGTGGATGATCGATAACCATCATGGTGGAATGTTGGGTGGATGATCGATAACCATCATGGCGGAATGTGGATGGATGATCGATAACCATCATGGCAGAATGTTGGGTGGATGATCGATAACCATCATGGCGGAATGTTGGGTGGATGATCGATAACCATCATGGTGGAATGTTGGATGGATGATCGATAACCATCATTGTGGAATGTTGGATGGATGATCGATAACCATCATGGCCGAATGTGGATGGATGATCGATAACCATCATGGCGGAATGTTGGGTGGATGATCGATAACCATCATGGCGGAATGTTGGGTGGATGATCGATAACCATCATGGCGGAATGTTGGGTGGATGATCGATAACCATCATGGCGGAATGTTGGGTGGATGATCGATAACCATCATGGTGGAACATTGGATGGATGATCGATAACCATCATGGTGGAATGTGGATGGATGATCGATAACCATCATGGCGGAATGTTGGGTGGATGATCGATAACCATCATGGCGGCATGTTGGGTGGATGACCGATAACCATCATGGTGGAATGTTGGATGGATGATCGATAACCATCATGGGGGAATGTGGATGGATGATCGATAACCATCATGCCGGAATGTGGATGGATGATCGATAACCATCATGGCAGAATGTTGGGTGGATGATCGATAACCATCATGGCGGAATGTTGGGTGGATGATCGATAACCATCATGGTGGAATGTTGGATGGATGATCGATAACCATCATTGTGGAATGTTGGATGGATGATCGATAACCATCATGGCCGAATGTGGATGGATGATCGATAACCATCATGGCGGAATGTTGGGTGGATGATCGATAACCATCATGGCGGAATTTTGGGTGGATGATCGATAACCATCATGGCGGAATGTTGGGTGGATGATCGATAACCATCATGGCGGAATGTTGGGTGGATGATCGATAACCATCATGCCGGAATGTGGATGGATGATCGATAACCATCATGGCAGAATGTTGGGTGGATGATCGATAACCATCATGGCGGAATGTTGGGTGGATGATCGATAACCATCATGGTGGAATGTTGGGTGGATGATCGATAACCATTATTGTGGAATGTTGGATGGATGATCGATAACCGTCATGCCCGAATGTTGATGGATGATCGATAACCATCATGGCGGAATGTTGGGTGGATGATCGATAACCATCATGGTGGAATGTTGGATGGATGATCGATAACCATCATGGCGGAATGTTGGGTTGATGATCGATAACCATCATGGCGGAATGTTGGGTGGATGATCGATAACCATCATGGTGGAATGTTGGGTGGATGATCGATAACCATCATGCCGGAATGTGGATGGATGATCGATAACCATCATGGCAGAATGTTGGGTGGATGATCGATAACCATCATGGCGGAATGTTGGGTGGATGATCGATAACCATCATGGTGGAATGTTGGATGGATGATCGATAACCATCATTGTGGAATGTTGGATGGATGATCGATAACCATCATGGCCGAATGTGGATGGATGATCGATAACCATCATGGCGGAATGTTGGGTGGATGATCAATAACCATCATGGCGGAATGTTGGGTGGATGATCGATAACCATCATGGCGGAATGTTGGGTGGATGATCGATAACCATCATGGCGGAATGTTGGGTGGATGATCGATAACCATCATGGTGGAACATTGGATGGATGATCGATAACCATCATGGTGGAATGTGGATGGATGATCGATAACCATCATGGCGGAATGTTGGGTGGATGATCGATAACCATCATGGCGGAATGTTGGGTGGATGACCGATAACCATCATGGTGGAATGTTGGATGGATGATCGATAACCATCATGGCGGAATGTGGATGGATGATCGATAACCATCATGCCGGAACGTGGATGGATGATCGATAACCATCATGGCAGAATGTTGGGTGGATGATCGATAACCATCATGGCGGAATGTTGGGTGGATGATCGATAACCATCATGGTGGAATGTTGGATGGATGATCGATAACCATCATTGTGGAATGTTGGATGGATGATCGATAACCATCATGGCCGAATGTGGATGGATGATCGATAACCATCATGGTGGAATGTTGGGTGGATGATCGATAACCATCATGGCGGAATGTTGGGTGGATGATCGATAACCATCATGGCGGAATGTTGGGTGGATGATCGATAACCATCATGGCGGAATGTTGGGTGGATGATCGATAACCATCATGGTGGAACATTGGATGGATGATCGATAACCATCATGGTGGAATGTGGATGGATGATCGATAACCATCATGGCGGAATGTTGGGTGGATGATCGATAACCATCATGGCGGCATGTTGGGTGGATGACTGATAACCATCATGGTGGAATGTTGGATGGATGATCGATAACCATCATGGCGGAATGTGGATGGAAGATCGATAACCATCATGGCGGAATGTGGATGGATGATCGATAACCATCATGGCGGAATGTTGGGTGGATGATCGATAACCATCATGGCGGCATGTTGGGTGGATGACCGATAACCATCATGGTGGAATGTTGGATGGATGATCGATAACCATCATGGCGGAATGTGGATGGATGATCGATAACCATCATGGCGGAATGTTGGTTGGATGATCGATAACCATCATGGCGGAATGTTGGGTGGATGATCGATAACCAACATGGCGGCATGTTGGGTGGATGACCGATCACAAGCATAATTGAATGCAGGGTAAACAATTAACCTAGACATTACAGGGTCGCTTCACGGCCGACCCATGAATACCAGGAAGACATCTTCACAGCTATATTCACTACCGTGATATTGCTGGAATATTGCCAAAAGCGGCTTTCCTCATTCACTCGTGTATGTATAGCCGTAGCTGCTGTCATATAACTGGACCATGGCTAAGTGCGGCGTTAAATGACCAAGACAAAAATATTTTCTAGTTCGCATTTTCGGGATATTGGAGGGATGCGCAAGTGGGTGGGGGTGGTCTGTTTGGCGATGTGGGGTCAGGTGTGTCACCTGTATACCTGTGTATAACAAGTATATGCATTAATTGTTCACATCGTATACTTAGAGTAGTATTGTAAAGATTGCCATCCAAATTACATTATTGTTGAACATTGCTTGACACTGGTTAGTTGTATCAAACAAATGAATATTATCCGTGTTTATCATAACCCGCCTTGAGTACACTCGGAAGAATTCCTGATAGACAATGGTTTTTCCTAAACGCCGTATCATAAGTCGCTATTTTCGGTTTGATTTCGAGGAAATCATAACATTGTCATGTGATTATTTTCACACACTATAAATACCGGAAGCCCCTAGTTACAAGTAACTTGAATCTCCAACGGACGATAAGGTAGGTTGTTTGTTGAACCAGGGAATTTCATCGGATGATATTGTGTACATACGTTGGTAAATAGGGTTTTAAAATAATCTCACTGTGCAGAATGTTTACGATTTTCATGCAACATTTCAAAAATCATTTTCGGTTAAATCCCGTTGGTCGGGAAACCTTGTTTGTGAGCAAACCAATTTGTTCCGGGACACTCTATTATGAAAGTTTGTTTGTTGGTTTGTTTGTTTGTTGTTTAACGCCGCACTCAACAATATTCCAGCTACATTACGGCGGTCTGTAAATAGACTAGTCTGGACTACTTGACAATCCAGTGATTGATATCATGAGCATCGATCCAAGGTTTTTTCTAACCCGGTTCTTCACGGGTCCTTTCATGAAAGACTATATAGTATACATGACATGTAACAATGATATTTTGATCTTGAAATTTCACTGGATACAGTATACCGTCTGGATTAATGAGGGTTCACTAGATTCAATACCGACTGGATAAAAGGGGTTTCGCTGTATGTTGAAAGTTATCAAGGTACCACTATGACTTGTGACTTTTTACCAAATGTATTGTTTTCATTTCGATATTCCTACGGGCCATATATACACCTTATCTACCAAACGTTTTACAGAAAACAATAGTTAATACAACAAGAACAGGACATACATGTGCACATACAAGGTATTTGCTGACAAAGAAACAGTAAATAATTCATGTTATTCTCCAATGTTTACGTTTTATATATGAAGTAACATCCGTTTCTGGTACCCATGCAAAAGTGAAAATAGATAAATCTTCTGAGAACTAGCACATTGTGAGAAATGCTGGCACGTGACGAGCGGGGAATCCCCGCATTAAGTTTTGTGCGTCGCAGTCGGAGGGTGAGGTCATAAGTTGGAAAGGATTTTTTTAGTTGTTAACAAACAGATATTAAAATATATAATATATTCAAATAGTGGTAATTAGGTAATGAATGAATGAATGAATGAATGAATGAATGAATGAATGAATTTCGAATTAATGTTAGATAATGAAACAGCAGAACGAATTTTGCTAATGCCAAAATAAGAAAGGAAAGAAGTTTATGTCGGATACATAGGCAAGATTTATTATGGTATGAGTGTTCGACACGGGACATAAAATGCGCCACGGGATATTTACTTCCGCGAATGGGTTTTACCGCGCAAATGACAGTCAACATAACACCACTGCCTCAAGCTAATTTGTACGTCACGTGATCGAACTTTTCTCTTGTTACGCTGAAATCAGAGCTGTCAGCCGACACTGTGATCAGTGTTCTACTTTTGTATAAATACGATATCCTTGACTGTGTAAGGAAAAGCGAATTGTCACATCCCGCTGTGGCAGAGGTACTAGTTTGACGGCATGGAACTGTGTAGGAGAGTGGTCGCTGCATGAATATGAGTGTGTGTGTGTGTGTGGGGGGGGGGGGGGGGGGCACAGGTGTAGGCGTTTAGCACTTTGGTGGAAACAAAACACGGATATGGTGCTGACAAACCTCAAGCCATAGTCCGGGAGAATTTCGGTATCGAACTCATAACAATAATAACACTATATGTGTAATAACCGCTCTCAATGTAACACTATATGTGTAATAACCGCTCTCAATGTAACACTATATGTGTAATAACCGCTCTCAATGTAACACTATATGTGTAATAACCGCTCTCAATGTAACACTATATGTGTAATAACCGCTCTCAATGTAACACTATATGTGTAATAACCGCTCTCAATGTAACACTACATGTATAATAACCGCTCTCAATGTAACACTATATGTGTAATAACCGCTCTCAATGTAACACTATATGTATAATAACCGCTCTCAATGTAACACTATATGTGTAATAACCGCTCTCAATGTAACACTATATGTGTAATAACCGCTCTCAATGTAACACTATATGTGTAATAACCGCTCTCAATGTAACACTATATGTGTAATAACCGCTCTCAATGTAACACTATATGTATAATAACCGCTCTCAATGTAACACTATATGTGTAATAACCGCTCTCAATGTGACACTACATGTGTACTCACCGCCCTCAATGTAACACTATATGTGTAATAACCGCTCTCAATGTAACACTATATGTATAATAACCGCTCTCAATGTAACACTATATGTGTAATAACCGCTCTCAATGTGACACTACATGTGTACTCACCGCCCTCAATGTAACACTATATGTGTAATAACCGCTCTCAATGTAACACTATATGTATAATAACCGCTCTCAATGTAACACTATATGTGTAATAACCGCTCTCAATGTGACACTACATGTGTACTCACCGCCCTCAATGTAACACTATATGTGTAATAACCGCTCTCAATGTAACACTATATGTATAATAACCGCTCTCAATGTAACACTATATGTGTAATAACCGCTCTCAATGTGACACTACATGTGTACTCACCGCCCTCAATGTAACTCTATATGTGTAATAACCGCTCTCAATGTAACACTATATGTATAATAACCGCTCTCAATGTAACACTATATGTGTAATAACCGCTCTCAATGTGACACTACATGTGTACTCACCGCCCTCAATGTAACACTATATGTGTAATAACCACTCTAATTCACCGTTATATTTATTAAAGTTGAGCCCTAGCTACGTGACTGACAACCACAAAGTTAATATTGACAGTGATAAATCCTATCAATGTCTAAGCTTAGACAGATCAGAGTTTCAACAAACGGCAAGCGGTCAGGTGACCATGCTCTGCGTAACTGATACACGTTTGTGGTTATTTCGGTATAAGATTATGTTAATAGAATATTTGTTACATTACTGCAAAAAGTATTCAATTACAGTACAACCTCGTTAATCCAGATGGTACAATATCCAATGAGATCGTCCTGATTAGCAAAGTTAATGGATAATGTTTCTATATCAACGGGATTACACTGAACAGAGTTTTGATTTGTTGCAAGACACAATTCCTGGAGCTCACTACTCCCCTACCCCCCAAGCCACCCCACCCCTGACAGAACATTTTAGTGACCCTGGATTTCTTGCTTAAGAACTTCGTGGACACGTGAATATGGTTTGATAAGAAATGTAATTGGTCCAGTAGAACCACTGGACTGTCCTATCGCTTCTTCCTTAAAATTACAGTAAACTACGGTTATAACGAACTCAAAGGGACAACTAATTGTAGTTCGTTACAACCGTAGTTCATTACAAGCATATATACAGTATAACTACAGCAAATAGTCGGAACAAAAAAGTGAGTTCGTTATATCCGTCAGTTCGTTATAAACGTAGTTTGCCGTATTAAAATATTCCATACATACTTTCATGAAAGTTTCGCGTCATACGTGCAACAGACGAAGAAACCTCATCCGCTAGTAATAGAAGTGATACATGGCGATATTGATATGACATAAACAGAAATCAAAGGTTAAAATGTTATCAAATACCGGGATTATCACGAGCGATATACTATACTGCAGGGGCTGACGGGCTGTAAAATTGGATGCTGAATGTCCCTATTGTTTGAAACTTTATTTTCTCAAATGACGAGGAAAAATGATTTCTGCTATATCAATACATACCTTCCCTGCGTCTGATCGAAACTGTTTTTTCTTAAACGACAAAAATTCCTATTTTCGCTTTGATTGAGACATAGTCATGTGACTGGAACACACTATATATAAAAATACGGGACACTCCCTTTCATTTGAACATCCAGCGGACGATAAGGTAGGTAGCTGACTAATCCAGGCAGTCTTTGTAAGGGGAACTAGTATACACCACATGGTTAGAGGGAGTTTTTATTCTACAGTGGTGACATTTTACGAATTTACTTTCAACTATTAAATCACATTCGGTATTATCCCGTTAGCGCATAAACCCCAGTATTCGCTGATGTTAACTTATACATTTTCCATCTGAGACTATTACAGCGAGGTTCCCGATAAAGTACACATTTTTTTTTTAACCGCCGGCACGTGACGGTAGGGGAATCGCCGCTTTGTGAATCTGTCGTGCGACCCGAGAACGGCGTCGTAATTTAGTAAGTGAGTGAGCGAGTTGTGTTTTACTCCGCTTGGAACAGTATTCCAGTTATATTATGGCATGTCAGCTTAATGTGAGCGGAAAGCATGTCTTTTTACCACTTTGGTGAAATCCAAAGGCACTGGTATGGTGCTGAAAAACCTAGGGCGGACCAGGATTCGAACCCATAATCATAGGATTCCGTCTCGCGCAAAGGACGCACCTCTGCACAGTGAATTGTTACATTTTAAACGACCGGGCCACTTTTGACCCAAGCTTTGTGAAAAATGAAACGAAGACGATTTAGAATAGAATGAAATGTAAGACATAAGTTTGGACTCACGGCTCAACCTATGTGCATGGCCCATGAAACAATCAATGCATTAAAAGCGCAATAAAACCACTCATTGACGTTAACTGAGTTTAGCAAATCACACAAGTGATGTTGTTAACAGTGAATGCCCCCAAATCAAATAATTATGATTGAAGAAAAGATAAATAATTCTTGAATTATATATGAATTTTGTTAATACAAACTATAATAAAAAGAACTAAAAAGTAGAAATACAGATGACTTGAATACTTTTAATGGAATCGTACTCCTAGTTACTATAAAATATCAGCTCGGTTTCTATGGCAAATGAACGTATTTGACTTATTTTGTCCTAACTGTAGATATTCAAAAATGCAGAAAGGGTTACAGTAGTAAATCACTGTGAAGGTAAATATTGCTTTTTAACTATTTATCTACTATTAAGTGCACGATTGACATGGCAAGATATGAAGAGCCCCACACGCTATTTACTTCCGGGAGTAAATTTAATTGTGAGGTGAGGTGAAATTGGGTTTAACGTCGCGTCCAAGATTATTCCACTTATATAGCGACGTGCATGCACGTGTGTGTGTGTGTGTGCGTGCGTGCGTGCGTGCGTGCGTGCGTGCGTGCGTGCGTGCTTTTACTAGTCCGGACAGTTGCCGATTTATAGTGCTAGCACACTGAGATACCATGCCGCAGTAAAACATGAATACCCCACTCAGACACAGTATAGCCGACAAGTCCTTGTTTTAGCCGTTTAATGCCGAGCGCCAGGCAGGGTAACAACAAGCACCATATTTTAACGTCTTTTGGTATGACGCGGCCGGGGATCGAATACCGGACCTTCCGCTCTCCTGGCGGACGCTCTACCACTAAACCACGGAGGCTTTCCAAATTTCATTGTGTGATCAGGTCATGATTCTACATAAACATGAGTGACTGGGCGAGTAGAGTTTAACGCCGCTTTAAACAGTGATATCACAGCGTGTCAGCTTGATATGGGACACCCGAAGTGATTAATAATAATTCCAGGTTGAAAACGTAAACCGATACCGGTTTAGTGGTGTCCGCCATTTTGATCCTGATACCTTGGTCGGAATGGCAGATCAACAGATAACATATGCTTCTGTATTGCCCATCTTAAATATACAACATCGGTTATCTCCCACTGTCTTGCAATTTCAAAGAAAAGTGTGATTGCGATTATGGCATGTTTGTGAAATTAAGACGGCAGCAATGACTTCTTCAGGTTACATTATTATGATACCTGTAGTTCGCCTATTAGCTTACGGTTGTCCTAATGCGGTAGTGTAATTTGTATCACATTTAGTGTCTTGTGCGGGCTTGATGATGCCTCCCATTACCACCGGATCCAGAGTTCAAACAGCACAGTGCCGCACCGCACCGCACCGCATCCAACCGCACCGCATCCAACCGCACCGCACCGCACCGCACCGCATCCAACCACACCGCACCGCACCGCACCGCATCCAACCACACCGCACCGCACCGCACCGCACCGCATCCAACCACACCGCACCGCACCGCACCGCATCCAACCACACCGCACCGCACCGCACCGCACCGCATCCAACCACACCGCACCGCACCGCACCGCACCGCACCGCACCGCATCCAATCACACCGCAATTCACCGCACACAATCACACAGCATTTAACGACACTGCACCGCTCCCAACCGTCCCGCACCGCATCACACCTCAACGCACCGCATCGCACTCAACCGCACCGCACCCAACAACACTGCACGTCACCAGACCACCCTGCATCCAACCGCACCGCAACACACCACACCGCGCCAAACTGCACCGCACCGCTCCGCACCACACCGCACCCAACCGCACCGCACCCAACAACACTGCACGTCACCAAACCGCCCTGCATCCAACCGCACCACACCACGCCACACCGCACCACACCGCACCCAACCGCATGGCACCCAACCGTCCCGCACCGCACAACACCGCACCCAACCGTCGGGCATCCAACCGCACCGCACCGCACCGCACCGCACCGCACCGCACCCAACCGTCGGGCATCCAGCCGCACCGCACCGCACCGCACCCACACAATCGCACAGCATTTAACGACACTGCACCGCTCCCAACCGTCCCGCACCGCATCACACCTCAACGCACCGCATCGCACTCAACCGCACCGCACCCAACAACACTGCACGTCACCAGACCACCCTGCATCCAACCGCACCGCAACACACCACACCGCGCCAAACTGCACCGCACCGCTCCGCACCACACCGCACCCAACCGCACCGCACCCAACAACACTGCACGTCACCAAACCGCCCTGCATCCAACCGCACCGCAACACACCACACCGCACCGCACCCAACCGCACCCAACCGCACCACACCGCACCCAACCGCATGGCACCCAACCGTCCCGCACCGCACAACACCGCACCCAACCGTCGGGCATCCAACCGTCGGGCATCCAGCCGCACCGCACCGCACCCAACCTTCGGGCATCCAACCGCACCGTCCCGCACCGCACAACACCGCACCCAACTGTCGGGCATCCAACCGCACCGCACCGCACCGCACCCATCCGCACCCATCCGCACCGCACCCATCCGCATGGCACCCAACCCCCCGCACCGAACAACACCGCACCCAACCGTCGGGCATCCAACCGCACCGCACCGCACCGCACCGCACCGCACCGCACCGCACCGCACCGCACCGCACCGCACCGCACCGCACCGCACCGCACCGCGCCGCACCGCACCGCACCCAACCGCATGGCACCAAACCGTCCCGCACCGCACAACACCGCACCCAACCGCCGGGCATCCAGCCGCACCGCACCGCACCGCACCGCACCGCACCGCACCGCACCACACCACACCACACCACACCACACCACACCCACCGCACCGCACCCAACCGCGCCGCACTGCGACACACCGCACCCAACCGCACCGCACTGCGACACACCGCACCCAACCGCATCGCACCGCGACACACCGCACCCAACCGCATCGCACCCAACCGTCCCGCACCGCACAACACCGCACCCAACCGCACCGCACCGCAAGACACTGTACTATGACCTTCAATAACGTTAGGGCAAACTTCAAGTCAAGTGTATTCAAGTGTATTTTCGACCAAATCATCATGGACATTTTGTCCCCACCACAACGCCTAATTTAATCACGACCACACCGCCTAAGTCTGAACACCATGCAACATTACAACCAAAGTGTTCAATATCTCCGCTCGGCACCGCACCGCACCGCACCGCGACGCACCGCACCGCACCGCACCGCACTGCACCGCATCGTATCGACACCAAGTATACCTCACTTCACCCAATGACTTCCATGACCATAGTACCAAATTCCACAGTGGCCATCTAACAATCTGTTCTCTTTCCAGCCAACATGGACAGTGACTCCGTTCCTCAATATCTACGTCGCCCACACTTGTCAGCTCTCGATGACGTCACATCCGGCTTGTACAACAGGGCTCCGAGTCACTGCAACACGCTCGGTTGCACGTGCAGAAAAACAGACTACCCCCCAGAACAGCAGGACTTCACCTCAAAGCCATTTTACGATGCCCTAACTGACGGGGGACTGGATTATGTGTACGCCAAACTGAACCTGCCTAATCCCCAAGACCACTACAGGAAGACCACGCATCACCGGAAGCACGTGATCGTTGTAGGGGCCGGAACGTCTGGTCTGTCGGCGGCGTATGAGTTGAGACAGGCTGGTCATCAAGTGAGTATCTGATCAATCTCCTTTCTTCCTTTTTTATAATTATGTAATTATTTGTTTTGTGAGTGAGAGGTGCTGGTCTAGTGGTTAAATCTTTCGTTCGTCAGTCCACAGTCCCGGCTTCGATTCCCCACTCTGTTACAAAGTGGGACTTCATTTCTGGTGTTCCCCGGCGTGATATTGTGGGAATATTGCTTAAAGCGGCGTAAAACCATAGTCGCCGAATAGGTGCATTTAGACTAATGTTGAGTGTCTGAAAACTCCATTTAAATTGTAACGGAGCCTCAGTGACAGAGGAAATCTAGACTTGCTTCACAGAAAAGTCTGGGTGGAAGGGAAAATAATATGGTTCAGGAACTGTGAGACTATTCACTAGTCTCAGGACTAGTGTCTTTGTGTTGGGTTAAAGGCCGTCTTTAACAGCATTACAGTTATGACACAGCGTGTCCCTTTTGAGATTTCACCACTCCCAAGATACAAGATCACATATAGTTTGTTTAATATAAAATGGAAGGGAAAATAATATGGTTCAGGAACTTGAGACAGACTACGGTGGAATTCTGCCGACTGTTAGGTTATACGGGTCTTCGGTGTGATAAACGAACGATTCTAGATCTTCTACTTGGCTACCACATTTATATGTTAAATAAGGATAGTCTATGATATTATACTATTTCAGGACCTTATAATGGTGTTCCCCTGTTTCATTAGGATTGTGTTTTGTAGTCAATCAATCAATTTGAAGGTAACGCTCCTGGAAATACAGCACAGAGTTGGTGGACGAACTAAGACTATCAAAGACAAATTTTCAGATGGACTCCATGCAGAAGGTAGGTTATTCTTAATCCTAGAAATTTAATGTATTATACTTTTGTTAACTGTGTGCGAATAATATGAAAGCTTCCTTAGCATGTAACTGCCTCCGTCGCATAGTTGATATTGCGTCTGCTTGGAAATACAATCACGACATTTAAGTGGGAAGAAACCCTGCAGTGATGCAAATCTAGTGAGTGAGTGGGTTGGGTTTAACGCCGCTTTTAATAGTATTCCAGTTATATCGCGGCGTGTCAGCTTAATGTGGGAGGAAAGCCCGAAGTGATGCAGGTTTCAGACGTTTACCGCTTCGGTGAAACCCACGAGCACGGGTATAGTGCGGACAAACCTAGAAACATAATCGGGGCGAACCGGGATTCGAACCCACAATCATAGGTTTCTGGAGTGCCCAAGGGACGCAACTCTCCACAGCGAATCGCGGCGCCGTAGACGACTGGGCCACCCGTGACCCCGATACAAATCTAGGCGTTTACCAATTTCGCCGGGACCCAAGAGGATCATGTGCCGACAAACTGAGAAACATAATCAGGGTGAATGTTGGATTCGAAACCATGAAATTGCGGTGCCTTAGACGACTGAGCAACCCATGCCGCCGACGATTGTGGAATACGATTGATTCAGGGGGTACCATACTGAATAATATTGATTTCAAGAAATGCTATTCTATATAATGTCATTGACTTAAAAGGGCGCAGTACTAAATAATATATATATATCATTGATTTTTAGGTGGTGCTATGCGGCTTCCCGAGAGTCACTACCTCACCAAGCACTATATTGACCTGTTCAACGTGCCAACAAGGCCGTTTCAGAACCAAAACCTGAATGGCTTCCTCTCCTTCTACGGCGACCCCAAGATAAAGATGTCAGGTGATGATGACAGCTTGCACGTGTAGACTTACACACAACACGGCTAATGCATATCGGTAGTGGAGTATCTATATCAGAATGTGCATAATGCCTTCAAAACGCTACCATCACCAACAAAACATTGTCAAGAACTGACAACTCACACAGACAGGGACAATGGAGGAAATTCGAGAAAGTGTCTAATATGAGTCTGTCACTGGACTTTCTCTTTACGATCTCGCTTCACTGTTATGCTTGTTGGACAAACGACCCTTGTCAACGTGAATCGAAGTTGCATCTGTGCATTGACGCAAATAATTGAAAATGACATTTGTGACGTCCTTCAGACACTACATGAGCTGATGTCTCTTTTGGTTGTAGGAAAAGTCACATTTTTCACATTTTCGAGACATAAAATAAATGTTTTAGAAGACAAGCCACGGGGTTGACATAATTATTTCGATCGGGGAAAATAATCTCAAAGTCCTCTTTGCGCGTAGGTTTTGCTGTTACTCTCGTGTGAATGTGTTTCAGAATGGGACGCCAACAGCGACTGGTATTGTACAAAGTACTGGGAAGGCTGGGACGCCAAAATAATGCAGTTTAAAACAGAACTTGGCATCAAGGGAATAAGTAAGTAGTGTCTGAATACACATCTCAGTTCCCTATGCAAAAGAAAACCAAGCCATACCTCGAACATACCAAACGTTGTATGTGTTTGTTGTTTAATGCCCCCCCCCCCCCCCCCCCCCCCCCCCTCACTACGACAACGAATATCCCGAATCACCCCGAATCGGAAACTTTCGAAATTCGTGATGATTTGGCCAATAAAGCAAACTTTGGATAATGCAATATATGAAGAATGCCAGGAATGGGTAAAACATGTACGAATTACAAGATTCATGTACGGATCATGCACGAATTGTAAGAATCACCTTCGACTAAGTTAAGAATATGCCGAATGTTGATCTTACATAATTCTTACATGATTCCTTGTTGACTCGGGACATTCGTGGCTGTTTCGGGATGTTTTCGGGTTGAGGACAAGAAATTTTGGGAGCCACGAATCTCTAAGAATAGCCAAGAATACAAAAGAATCGATAACGAAGCTGTTATGGAACATAAGAATTAATTTCGAATGGATTACGATACAGCAACGGAATTGCAATTAGAACCTTCCACGAATGTTTTTGACAAACAAAAACTTTCTCGCCGATTCGACGAACTCCCGCGAAGTGTACGAATGTTTGGGAATCAAATAAGATTCATTTAAGACATGAAACATTTCCTATTCGAGGTGATTCGGGATTTTGGTGGTCGTAGTGAAATGGGGGCATGACGCCACACTCATCAATACTCCAACTTTATGAAGCCGGTCTGCATGTAATTAAGTCTGGACCTCAGACCAGTGACCGCTTCACACCATCGGGTTTTGATAACAAAGTTGCAGTCTCATAATTATTATTATTGGGGCGGTGAGGTAGCCTAGAGGTTAAAGCGTTCGCTCGTAACGCCGAAGGCCCAGGTTAGATTCCTCATATGTGTACATTTGTTTAAAGCCCATAGCTGGCGTCCCCAGCGGCGTAAAACCATACTCACACATTATTATTATCATTATTCCGTTTGTAGACGACTACTTCGACAGCACGGTGGCCCCGGTATATGCGGAGCTTCGTCGTGACACGAGCCCGAAGGGTTGGGCGCGGTGGGTGAAGAAATGGAGCCAGTTTTCTGTCCTTGAGTTTCTCAAGTCCGACACCTACCAGAGCCCAGCCGACAAGTACAAACTGAGACCATGGCCGCAGAAAGCCATTGAAGCTTACAGAGTGCGGAACTACATACCCCTGATCAACGCCAGCCTGGTGGAGTATCTGAGAGAGTTGTTAGGCCAGTGGTGGAAGGATCCCCTGTACACGCCCACTGGGGGTATGGAGGAAATTGCAAAGGCCTTCATGCGGAAGAATACAACAGGCTGGAACCCGGATGTGGATCTGAGTAAGGACATCCGGTATGGGATCAAAGTAGAAGCCATTGAGGAGGTCAGTATAGGATCACAGACGCTGATCCATGGAGAAAATATCATCATAACCCTCTGCATGATTATCATATTGGTCCAAAGTTTATGTTTATGATTTACAGTACTGTTGCTGTAGAGGCTACCTCGTGTCAAAACCTCTTAATGGCAACACAAGTGCAAGTATTCCAGTATTGAGCCCAATAGATATCTTTGAGAATAAAACATCCTTTCGCAATACACAACACGCTATACTTCGAAACATGCAGTAGGTCTGGTGAAGATTTTATTTATTTTATATTTTTGTACTATGAACTAATTCATATAGGTGAAAAAACATGAGCCTGACAGTAATATTTTTACTTCGTTTAGGGGGCTTCCTGTGAAAGAAATTCGCTCTTTAATTATTGTCTTGGCTAGAAGGTACATAATACAAGAACAAATGAGCTCCTCCGAAATACTTGAAACTCTGAGTCATTCTTCAAGAGAAACAAATTATTTTAAATGGTCCGGGATATAGATTGTAAAAGTCCATGGATGATGACATTGGATTTATTTCCCTCTGTCATTAGGTTCAACAGCGAAACGGGGAGAAAATCGTGACAGTTACTGGTCGGAACGACGCCACCAAACAGCCGGCAGAGTTCACGGGGGATGCTGTGATCATAACCGTCCCCCTGACGGTGCTCCGACAGATGAAGGTGCCCCTGACACGGCAAAGCCAGCAGGCAGTAGAGGGTATCTACTACGAGGCGTCTACAAAGGTCTTGCTGCAGTGTAGGACCAGGTTCTGGCAGAACCCGGACAACCTACAGGGAGGCTTCTCCAAGACAAACCTACCCATTGGTAAGCTTCTGCTATGCTTTGATAAAGACTCATATTGCGTACAGGATACATTGTGTAGAAGGTTCATTGACAACGAAACCCCGTCAGGATTCCGGGACAGAATATTCTCAGGGCTCAGTACCCGTATGGATTCACAGGAGATTGGACCCTGTTTCAGTGTTTTACTTCCTGTGGGGATTCCGAAGTAGAATAGGTGACATGCGCCCCTCTCATTCTCTTAAGGTGGGGATTCCGCAGAAGAATAGGTCCGTGGTAACGCTTGCATTTCTTTCCATGGTGATTCCGGGGGAACATAGGTCAAAAGTACTCCATGCTTGTCTTTCTGTGGGGTTTTCGGGAGATAATTGGTTGAAAGTACCCCGGCATGCTTGTATCCGTTGAGATTCTGGGGGATAATAGGTCTAATGTACCCCGTGTTTGCCTCTCCGTTGGGATTCTGGGGCATACTAGTTCTATAGTACGAAGTAGAATATGTTACATGCGCCCCATAATTTTCGTAAGTGTAGATTCCGCGGTAGACGAGGTGCCAGGTAGCGCAAGCTTTTCTTTTAATGGTTATTCCGTGGCAACACAGGTCTATAGTACCCCATGCTTGTCATTCCGTGGCAACACAGGTCTAAAGTACCCCATGCTTGTCATTCCGTGGCAACACAGGTCTATAGTACCCCATGCTTGTCATTCCGTGGCAACAAAGGTCTATAGTACCCCATGCTTGTCATTCCGTGGCAACACAGGTCTATAGTACCCCATGCTTGTCATTCCGTGGCAACAAAGGTCTATAGTACCCCATGCTTGTCATTCCGTGGCAACACAGGTCTATAGTACCCCATGCTTGTCATTCCGTGGCAACACAGGTCTGTAGTACCCCATGCTTGTCATTCCGTGGCAACACAGGTCTATAGTACCCCATGCTTGTCATTCCGTGGCAATACAGGTCTATAGTACCCCATGCTTGTTATTCCGTGGCAACACAGGTCTATAGTACCCCATGCTTGTCATTCCGTGGCAACACAGGTCTATAGTACACCATGCTTGTCATTCCGTGGCAACACAGGTCCATAGTACCCCATGCTTGTCATTCCGTGGCAACACAGGTCTCTAGTACCCCATGCTTGTCATTCCGTGGCAACACAGGTCTATAGTACCCCATGCTTGTCATTCCGTGGCAACACAGGTCTATAGTACCCCATGCTTGTCATTCCGTAGCAGGAAAGGGAAACGGATGGTGATAATGTGTGACCTGGCTGATTGCGCGTCATGGCATCCCATTGTTATTCTGTCAACCACTGGCGTGAATGGCCCAAACACGATATTTAAATGCTGTCGTGACAAAGTTAGATAAATCATCTATAAAAACAACCGAAAACATGGAAAATGTACTTTCAAGTAGCTATTGAATCCCTGAAATGTGAAGCGATAATGTCAAAAACTAAAATGGAAATGTCAAAAACAAAAACAAAAAGGTCAAAAACTAAAATGAAAATGTCAAAAACAAAAACGAAAATGTCAAAAACAAAAGCGAAAAATGTCAAAAACTAAAACGAAAATACAGAAAACTATTTCCACCGCGGTGATAATATATAATATACTGTTTTCGGTTGTTTTTATACATGATCTATCACATATTTGTATGATAAAGCGTGTTAATTTGCAAAAAGGTTACAATAAAAGTAAGTGAAATATCAAAATATTGAAACTACGACTCCATGTCCCTTATGGACCACCGTACATTTGAGACAGTGGCTTGAAAAATATTCAATTTACTGAAATCATCGTCTTGCTTAATAGTAAATACACTACTCAATAAAAGTTAAAGGACAGCCGAGTTTTTCATATGATTATTCTTAATCTGTCATGGCTGGTGGGTATTGCAACACACAACCTTCCAATCGTGAGTGTTCTTTAACTTGTTTTGAGTAGTATAGTTTATTCTTGCAGGTCAGCTACACTATCCAGACTGGGAAAAATCGGGGATACCGGAAAACGAGCGTGGAATCCTCGTCATCTACACATGGGGCCAAGACGCAGAAATGTTCGGCGCCCAAAAAACTGAAGAGGCAATCGAGAACGCTGTGAAACAGGTCGCAACAATCCACCCCGAGATCGTTGATAATTTCGAAGTTGGGGCAGTACAAGCCTGGTTCAACGAACCCACAGCTCAAGGTGCATTCGTGTATCTAAAACCAGACCAATATAACGACAGCCTATTGCAGCTTCTCAACTCAGACCATCCTATATACCTAGCGGGAGAGGCGCTGTCGTGGTCCAATGGCTGGATACAAGGGGCGCTGGAATCAGGCTTGAGGGCGGCCTACGAGTTCTACAGTCACAATGAGAAGCAATTCCCACCTCAGTTGAAGAGATGTGGATGTGCACACCAATATGTGTGTTCTCAGTCTGAGGGGGACATGTCCCATCACGAGTTCTCAAACAATGAGAAGTGTGGTTACCAGGGTCCTTGAGGTCAGAGAAGCATGTACCCTGCATAGCTGCAGCCGGGGAAACAGTGCTTGACAATACTGCTTACATGATTGACTGATACTTTACACAGCTACAGCCGGGGAAACAGTGCTAGACAATACTGCTCACATGATTGACTGATACTTTACACAGCTACAGCCGGGGAAACAGTGCTTGACAATACTGCTTACATGATTGACTGATACTTTACACAGCTACAGCCGGGGAAACAGTGCTAGACAATACTGCTTACATGATTGACTGATACTTTACACAGCTACAGCCGGGGAAACAGTGCTTGACAATACTGCTTACATGATTGACTGATACTTTACACAGCTACAGCCGGGGAAACAGTATAAGACAATACTGCTTACATGAGTGACTGATACTTTACACAGCTACAGCCGGGGAAACAGTATAAGACAATACTGCTTACATGATTCACTGATACTTTACACAGCTACAGCCGGGGAAACAGTATAAGACAATACTGCTTACATGATTGACTGATACTTTACACAGCTACAGCCGGGGAAACAGTGCTTGACAATACTGCTTACATGATTGACTGATACTTTACACAGCTACAGCCGGGGAAACAGTATAAGACAATACTGCTTACATGAGTGACTGATACTTTACACAGCTACAGCCGGGGAAACAGTATAAGACAATACTGCTTACATGATTCACTGATACTTTACACAGCTACAGCCGGGGAAACAGTATAAGACAATACTGCTTACATGATTCACTGATACTTTACACAGCTACAGCCGGGGAAACAGTATAAGACAATACTGCTTACATGATTGACTGACACTTTACACATCTACAGTCTGGGAACAAGTACTAGACAATCCTGCTTACATGATTGACTGACACTTTACACATCTACAGTCTGGGAACCAGTACTAGACAATACTGTTTACATGATTGATTAATAATTTACATAGGTACCCCCGGCACTAGCCAAAACCGATTACATGATTGTCTACACACTCAGCAACAGACCATGTTAAAGGACTTTAAACAATTCGCAAAAGAATATAATAACCGATCAATGAATATTGCACAGCCAAACCGAACAGCCCCTATTGTGTGTTTCATTACTTTCTGTTTGCACACGTCGATTATTCCTGTTGAGTTGATATTTTCGTTATTGCCAGGACGATACAGGTATAGGCTAGCACTGTTCAGTGCAACAACTATGACTCCCGTCAACTCGGAACGTAACGAACTACTGAGGAAAGTGAACACACGTTCGCTACGTCCTGAAACAGCTAATCTTAAATCATGGCCACCGCTTACCACACACAGGCATGGTACATTGTTTCTACATGACATTGTAATTGATTAGCCATGGTCTACTGTAACTTTCTGTTGCTTACCCAAACGAAACTGAATATAACAAAATACACCACTCAACATTTACTAAGGACCACACCTTTGACTAAAGATTACTTTGGTTCTTAGCAAATGATGGGTAGTATAAATAAGTCACTTTTTCTTAGTGAGACATGCAAATAGTATTGCTATACACTCATATTTACAGTATGTATAATATATATATATATATATATATATATATATATATATATATATATATATATATATATATATATATTATACATGTATGTAGTATGCATATAATAATAATAATGATCAATGTTATAGTGAGGCATACCTGCATTCTGCAGTGTGACCTGAGCACAACCATCGGTAGTCCTAGGTTCCTCACAGAAAGTATTCACCATGCTTTTCCCTTATAGTGGATAATGCAAGGACTTTCCTTGGAAAGATTCTCCTGCAACGTTCGATTATCGGTTATAGTAGCATCTTCCGAGCTTCTGATGCAACGATACTACCGATACCCAGTAATTACAATGTAATAGTGAAGTGAATGCCAAGGTTATAATCACAGGCGTGTACTCGACTGACCGTTGTAGCCGTTACGCCCGTCTTGTGTGGGAAACGCTACTTGCAGTTGTAATCCCAAAAATGCTGTCGTATGCATTACTTACTAATTTATTACTTGTTTATAACTATGTGTGCACGTAACTGCATAACCTCTGGCACCGGAACTTGCTATGCATAGTTGTGTCCCTTTATCGTGGGTTCGGATCCCAGATTCGCCCGAGTATGTTTCTAGGTTTGTTACTCCCCCATTGTTGATTACCGCACTTAATCGAGTCTGGACCAGACAAACCAGTGAGTGATATTATGAGTAACAATCCAACAATCCGTTGGGGTATGAAAGAATGCATCAAAACAGGTTCCTGAGGCTTACCACATGGTCCTTTTAGTCGCGCCATACGACAAGCACAAGTTGCTGGAGACTATCGGAATGGAATCCCCACGGTGGGAGGAGCGCTAAATATGGCGTTCAATAGGGTGTCCTGCTGAGAGTATCTGTATGTGCTATATGGATGGGGTGGATCTTGGATGATGGGTGCTTCATGGTGAATGGCAATATTACAGTTACATCAAGACATCTTTCAAAAACTTATTGCACCGCTTCCGGGCAAACAGCAAACCTTTGACTACCTCCGCAGTTTGGTCATCTCCGACGGTAAATGGTAACGGTGAAGACCCATACTGCCTGAGTGTAAGTGCTTTCATAAGCAGCATTTTCACTGCACCTTTAACTGAATATGACAGAGCTGTCCACTTATGGGTGTCTGTGACTACCGATGAATGTGACAGAGGTGTCCTCTGTGGGATGTGTGTGACAACCGATGAAGGTGACAGAGGTGTCCTATGTAGGGCGCCTGTGACGACCGATGAAGGTGACAGAGGTGTCCTCAGTAGGATGCATGTGACAACCGATGAAGGTGTCAGAGGTGTCCTCTGTCGGGCGCCTGTGACTACCGATGAAGGTGACAGAGGTGTCCTCTGTGGGATGTGTGTGACTACCGATAAAGGTGACAGAGGTTTCCTATGTAGGGTGTCTGTGACTACGGATGTAGGTGACAGAGGTGTCCTCTGTGGGGCGCCTGTGACTACAGATAAAGGTGACAGAGGTGTCCTCTGTCGGGCGCCTGTGACTACCGATAAAGGTGACAGAGGTGTCCTCTGTGGGATGTGTGTGACTACTGATGAAGGTGACAGAGGTGTCCTATGTAGGGTGTCTGTGACTACGGATGTAGGTGACAGAGGTGTCCTCTGTGGGGCGCCTGTGACTACAGATAAAGGTGACAGAGGTGTCCTATGTAGGGTGTCTGTGACTACAGATGTAGGTGACAGAGGTGTCCTCTGTGGGGCGCCTGTGACTACTGATGAAGGTGACAGAGATGTCCTCTTAAGGGTGTATGTAATTACCGATGACGGTGACAGAGGTGTCCTCTGTAGGGTGCATGCGACTATTGATGAAGGTGACAGAAGTGTCCTCTTAAGGGTGTCTGTGACCACTGATGAAGGTGATAGAGGTGTCCTCTGTGGGGTGTCTTTGACTACCGATAAAGATGAAGGTGACAGGTGTCCTCTGTAGGGTGTCTTTGACTACCGATAAAGATGAAGGTGACAGGTGTCCTCTGTGGGGTGTCTTTGACTACCGATAAAGATGAAGGTGACAGGTGTCCTCTGTAGGGTGTCTGTGACTACCGATAAAGATGAAGGTGACAGGTGTCCTCTGTAGGGTGTCTTTGACTACCGATAAAGATGAAGGTGACAGGTGTCCTCTGTAGGGTGTCTTTGACTACCGATAAAGATGAAGGTGACAGGTGTCCTCTGTAGGGTGTCTTTGACTTCCGATAAAGATGAAGGTGACAGGTGTCCTCTGTAGGGTGTCTGTGACTACCGATAAAGATGAAGGTGACAGAGGTGTCCTCTGTAGGGTGTCATATGGCATGTTATTGACAATTAATGTTGGGATGTTAGTAACAGTAAATGTTGAAAATTCTTGTTTAGAAAAGATAATGACCCAGAAACTTATTCAGATATTTATTCACCTTTTATCTGCACCTCAACATCATCAGGGGCAGCTTCAGTCATTTCCTGTAGCATCAAGTTTGTACAGCACTGTCATCACACCACGCTACAGCATGACATGTACTTTATCCACAACAGCGTTCAGACTTCCTATCAAACCAGTAATATATCACATGCAACACACTTACTTCCTCACACATTTGTAGACAAAAAGTTCCATGAAATTTCAAAACTTTTCAATAACACTTGATATCAACAACTTAAGCATGACACTTCTTCTGTTTCCTGACAACAGTTGTATCACAAGTCATGTCATCTGACTTAGAGTTTTATATACATACTTCCTCCACGTTCTCAGGTTTCATTTTCTCATATCACATGATGCAGCTAGCATTTTAGGCTTCACCCTGGTTCAAGGTCATGCGGGACCCAATGGTCAAAGTTTCCCCAATTTGCAGAGTTGCTTCCCTTAATTGTAAGGATGTGCTGATCATGGGTTTGAATCCTAGGTTTTCCCCGCTATGTTCCTTGGTTTTGCAGCACTATCTTTGAGCTTATGAGTTCAACTCGGTGGGAAATGTATATATCTGCTTCACTCAGGGATCGCCTCTCAACATAATGTAGATCGGTTGTGATGTAACTGTAGTATGAACTGAAGTTAAACCCCATCAGTCTTACTATATCATGCATACCATATGATACACACTAGGGCTGGGACGAGTCCAAATTTACTACCCGTGTACCTATCACCCGACCCTACCTGGATACACGCTGTAGATATCTAAAGATAGGTACAAACTGTCCGATTTGGGAAAGTTTGACCGTAGCCCTGGCAAAATGTATTTAGATACATGTGTAAAGCAATCTGGTCATGCATACACTGAAGTTTACTGCATGAAGTTTTATCTCAATTCAAATATATAAAAGTCAGAAGGAATGGGTGCACAGTCAGAAGGAAATGGGAACATTAGTGACTTGTAGTGTAACCATAGAGTTTTAGGTAATTTTTGTCATTAAACAATATATTACTGGCTAACAATGGGTCCGGGTAGTCCTATGGGGACCTGGGTCCTATGCATGACCCACTCGACCAGAGTACCCGAGTTACCTGTCCCAGCCCTAATACACACCATGACTTTCTCCTTGCTTTAGACTTTCTTGAATACTCAGCTTAAAAATGCATGAAACAGAGCTTTACCTCTTCTCCCCATTCAAGACTTACCATATTCCAAGCATTACAGTAAGGGCTAGGCAGAAGGGGAAATAATACAGTAACTGCGAGACAGACCAGACTGTTAGCCTACATTCAGGAAGGTGATCAGAGTGTGAGGTGTCATCATGACCTCGTTAATATTAGCCTTATCTGTACTGTACAGTGTCTAATGTTTTCCTCATTTGTATTGAAAGTTTCCTTCTCTGATAAATGGAGATTATCTGATTGTGTCCACCTCATAAATATATGAATCATCATCTTGCTAACCATGCAACAGGTGTCCAGATGCTTGTAGCCACTGAGTATTTACTCACATGTTATCATTCACATTGGGTGTTGATCATCTTCCCAAGGCAAGGGCGTTAACTGACTATAAAAGTCCAGTTTGAGATTCTGGAGTTACAATTTGGCTTGACTAAGGAGTCTATGCATAGACCAATTAAAATCGCATAACGAACGACTTGGATTTCAACGCTCAGATTTCGGTCGATTGCAGGATTTGCATGTGTATCTCCAACTGGGCGTCGACAGATATTTTGCAATTTTTTCATGTTTTTTATCAAGGTGCTTAAGTGATTTGATTCACTTTGCGGGGTAAGACCTGTTTTACTACAATAAAGATCTTGATAATTGATCAGATTGACTTGACTAGGCGTCGCCATTTTGTTTGAAGCAAATGCAAGTGATATGAGAGATGGAATCTGATTGGTCAATAGGAGGGACATAAAAGGGACATAACTCGTAATAGCCACTGGTGGTGCTACAAACGAGGCTGGAATTTCCAGGTAGTTCGGCAAGGGTGGAAACTGGACTTTTATAGTCAGTTAATGCCCTTGCCTCGGGAAGATGGGTGTTGATAGTTTTCAATATCGTTTTCTTCCCTTAGGTTAGGTATTTTTACACTGATGAGTAGATCTGAGTAGATGACTACACTCAATCAGTAGATACAAGTATGCAAATTGAAAAGGATACATTGGGTAATTATGAAAAGTGTTGATATACTATTGTGTTGTGAAATTTTTCATGCATATTTGTAAATAAATAACTATAATACGAAAAAGATCTGAGGACATCTCATAACAGGTCATAGCAGAACAACCTTTCTTCCTGCCAATTGGAACATTGCTTGTGAGATCAGAATGTGTTTTCTAATCATGCAACCTTGAAGAGATTAACACAGGGTATTCCGAGTGATAGTTACAGACTGTATCACTGATTCCGTCAAAATTATCATTTATCTCTCACATCAATGGCATAAACATTTCAATGGAAGAGGCTTTCCATAGCCCACGGGAAGTACTGCCATACAATGTCTATCTATAAGACATTCCAGAATGTTCTTTTGTTCCGGTTTGAAATTTTGAATTGACAAAACTTTGTCGGAATACTTTTCAAAGCATAGTCCGGAATGTAACCTGCCATTTTTAATCTCATGCCGTAAGGCTCAAGTATTCTACTTTCTGATTGGCTAATGTGGACTTCCTGTTCCTCATTTACAAAAGATCATGCTGACATGATCTGTAATGGGATGTCCTTAGAACTTTGAGATCACTAAGACCTCATTTTAATAAGATTGCACAAATAGTCAGCTTATCTGGAGCTCTGATAACACATACTTGTCCTTCCTGACAGGATATTTATGATACAGAAACACAGGAGTGTAGTCATCTTTTCATCCTGCCGGGTCATTCATAAATAAGTGATGTATAAGATGTAAAGTCACTCACTGAAGTACCTTTAAATACCCTGTATGAATTCATTGCTAGAGGACAAAAAATCTGATGACATCCTCTTACAGGTCATGTCAGAACGGCCTTTCATCCAACTAATCAGAACGCCCTATCTACACTTTTTGGGAGCACTGACAAAAGTATTAGCATGAGGTTTAAACTTGAATCGTATAAGTAATACAAGTGATTCTATATTTGCTTACAAACATATTTTCTTTCAGTTCAGTCTATAAATGTAACAATGTGACAGTGAGAACAACGAACACCTTGCTTTGTGAGGATGCGATCGAGTGCAAAGCATAAAACATCCATACCTATAACATCACAACGTGATGTCACCAATAGCCTGCAGACTTGCGTTATTACTCAAAAGTTATATCACTTGACAAATTAATCATTTCAGCAAAATGAAGGCTTTTCATTCAACTTCATGTTTTGACTATATGAACAAACAAACAAATATTTGTGTAGTGATTTCTCATAGATATTGTAAAGTTACACAAAATATCTAAGTCACAAAAGTTTCAGTCAAATAAAAGAAGTGTATTTCGATACTGATTTTGCCAGGTGATGTACCTTCATAATTTCAAGATCTTCTCAAAGGTCTATTTGGCCATCAAATCAATACATTTTGTTTATTGATTGAAAATGATATTGGATGATAATAAAATCTCACCCTCATGTTTTCTACATAAAATATATCAACACTCATTGATTAGAGCTGAACACCTCCTCAGCAAGCCTCTGAGTTTTGCTGCTGTAATCGACTTGTGTTGACATATGCAACTGGGGGAGATTCTCTACAAATGATGAAGTCCACGTTGGCCTCCTTCTCTTCATTGTTCTTATGATGCAATGAGGTCATAGTGAATAGGGAAATGTGATCATCATTATCATAATGTGATACATAAACAAAACTCAACACTCTTCATATTTTCTTTGAGGATTTAAAGTGGACTGGTGTTACACTTGGGTGAGTATCGATTTTAGGATTTTAAATTATTGTGTTAACTACTAACTTTTAACAAACTTAATTTTGAAATTTGAATTCTGCCCTGAATATTTTGTCCTTAAACACAAATTACTTCTCAACTCATATGAGATGTACATGACTTTGCAAGGAAAAAAGGTGTGACCACAAAATGTATTGATACAGGTCCTCATTGAAACATCATCAGACTACCCTGGTCTGTGAAGTGGTTTGTTGTGTCAATCTGGATAACCATATACAGTCCATATAATCATATCATATCCATAACCATCAACAAACCTATATGGTCAGGCACGTTTCCCTTAGAGAATATTCCTATACCAAACCCTCTATACAGATCATGTATATGTACAAATAAATATAAATATAGAAGGTAAAAACATTTTAGAAATAATAACAAATTTATCTGTATCAATAGATGCCATTCATCTGTCACATTCTGTGACTCACATCCATACAAAGGAAGCAGTTGCCATGACAACAGCGGAAAAATTTCAGATTTGTTTCTGCTGGTTTCCAAACAAAGAATATAACAAACACATAACAACCCAGAACTTCATGAGTACTATAACCAGTTCATCATAGGAAACAACATATACCTGACAACTCTCACACATTTAGCATGAGACCATAGCTTCAGCACCAAAAACTCACCTCTTTTTTCTTCCAATATCAAGCTTTGCCTTGATACTTTTGTAATGTTTGATTTTTGTAATGTTAGACTTTTTTACTTATTGTTCTTTGATGATTTTTTAGGGGAGACGATTAAATAATATTTTAACTGAAACATTTGACGGAAATTACTTCATCTGAAAACTTTGATGTTGTTCATAACCACATGTTTATATGATTGTAAAGCCAAACAGCTAAAAGAAACTTACACGATTACTTCCCTGGCATGCATAGGTCTTACAATCAAACATTGTCTGTGTTATGGGCCTATATGGCCTTTTCACTAAATAAAGATGATCTGTCTGTCTGTATGATATACATTGTTTTCAAAGACTTTTATGTTCAAGGTGTCATATCAGCAGTGTTAGCCAGTCCCGTTGGTCGTGCAGTTTTTTTTGTATGAACAACATTTTTGATGCAGATACGCAGGTTTGAGAGAATAAGAAAATAAAAAAAGCTTTTGAGACTATTTTTTCCTCTTCCTCTTCTCAGTGTTTTGCAAATAACAGTTGTAGCTCAAGGCAACTCTATTTGTTGTTTAATGCCGAACTCAGCAATATTACAGCTATATGACAGGTGCCTGTAAATGATGGACTTTGGACCAGACAATCCAGTGCTTGACATTTTAGCATGGATTCATGCCAACAGGGTACCAAGTTGCTGAGCCTGACCACCCAATCTATTAAGTTGACTCTTACGAGAGGCATAGGTTTCTAGAGGCCAATTGTAACCAGGAATCTCTATGGCTTTACAGTACAATGGACCACTTGTGTATATTATCATTGTAATGTCATGTTAGTGAGTGAGCGAGTTGGGTTTAACGTCACTTTGAACAGCATTGCAGTTATATCACAGCGTGTCAGCCTAATGTGAGGGGAAAGCTTGTAGTGATGCAGGTCTCAGATGTTTACCACTTTGGTGAAACCCACGAGCATGTTTATGGTGCTGACCAACCTAGAATCATAATCAGGGTGAACCAGGATTCAAACCCACAATCATAGGTTTCTGGCATGCCAAAGGGATGCAACTCTGCACAGCAGCACCTTAGACGACTGGGCCACCCGTGCCCCCTAACGGCACGTTAGAACATCCCTTGAACTACATGTCTGTTTAAGGAGTACAACTGCAGTACATCTTCTCCAAAGTACCAGAAGTAAAATTCATCTTAAATATTCACCATGTACAGCTACTGTCCCAAATTAAGGCTACAGAATAATTGAATTATTTAAGGTTTTAAATCAAGCAGCGGTTTTGACATTTAATAATTCCTTAATAATTAATATGAAGGTTTTTTTACAATTGTTTTTTGTATAAAACAGAAAAAAAATCTTATTATTAGAAGTTTGGTGGATTACAGCAGCTTGATATTGGAAACACTGTAAAATGGAATACTGACACTGGTTCCAGTTTGTTTTGCTAAATTAACATTCTATCAGCAGAAATACTTCATTCAGAGACCTACCTTAGTGACAACCTGCAGTTCATATATACATTAAATAGTCACCAAAGCAGCTGTTATAAATTCATTGTTTATTTAAGTTGTTTTTAACAAGAAATAATGACAAACATTTAAACTATTTCTTTGAATTTATACACATACTTGAACATTTTTTTCTTTGAAAGTCATTGCAGATATATCTTATAGTGCAAAATCGATCCCTTCAGTCTACTTGGTCACATGGCCAGGAGAAAATATTAGTATTTCTACTTAATCTCCAGACAGATGGTTTTCCCATTTTACCTACAGACAGTTGGTCTTCCCATTTGACCTCCAGAGAGAGGGTTTCCCACTTGACCTACAGATGGTCTTCCCACTTGACCTACAGACAGTTGGTCTTCCCACTTGACCTGCAGACAGATGGTCTTCCCATTTGATCTGCATACTGATGGTCTTCCAGCTTGACCTACAGACAGTTGGTTTTCCCACTTTACATACCAACAGATGGTTTTCCCTCTTGACCTCCAGACAGATGGTCTTCCCATTTGACCTGCAGACAGATGGTTTCCCAATTGACCTACAGACAGATAGTCGTCCCACTTGACCTACAGACAGTTGGTCTTCCCACTTTACATACCAACAGATGGTTTTCCCTCTTGACCTCCAGACAGATGGTTTTACCATTTGACCTGCACACAGATGGTCTTTCCATTTGACCTGCAGACAGATGGTTTCCCACTTGACCTACAGACAGATAGTCGTCCCACTTGACCTACATACAGATGGTCTTCCCACTTGACCTACAGACAGATGGTCTTCCCACTTAACCTACTGACACGTGACCTTCCCATTTGACCTACAGACAGTTGGTTTTCCCACTTTACATACAAACAGATGGTTTTCCCTCTTGACCTCCAGACAGATGGTCTTCCCATTTCATCTACAGACAGTTGGTCTTCCCATTTGACCTCCAGACAGATAGTTTCCACTTGACCTACAGATGGTCTTCCCACTTGACCTACAGACAGTTGGTCTTCCAATTTTATCTACAGACAGTTGGTCTTCCCATTTGACCTCCAGACAGATGGTTTCCCACTTGACCTCCAGACAGATGGTTTTCCCATTTGACCTACAGACAGATGGTTTCCCACTTGACCTACCTACAGACAGATGGTCTTCCAACATGACCTACATACAGATGGTCTTCCAACCTGACCTACAGACAGATGGTCTTCCCACTTGACCTCCAGACAGATGGTTTTACCACTTGACCTACATACAGATGGTCTTCCCACTTGACCTCCAGACAGATGGTCTTCCCACTTAACCTACTGACATGTGATCTTCCCATTTGACCTACAGACAGATTGTCTCCCCACTTGATCTCCAGACAGATGGTCTTCCCTCAGACCTACATACAGATACTCATCCCACTTGACCTACAGACAGATTGTTTTCACAATTTATTTTGATGAAATTTTGCATTCTGCCATTCCATTCACTAGAATTATCGGCAGTAGTTTTCAACTAACAAATTATCTCCGACGAGAAGGCATACAGACACTCGACTAGTCCGCTAAGTCCCTTGACATGTCCCCAATACAGCATCTGTGGGATGTTCTCAGGCAGAGAGTGTACATCAGAGACTAACACCTGCCAAAGTGGCCCAGGTTGGGGTAGGGCTTCAGGCGGAATCGAAGGCATTACCAAGGGCAACCACAAGCAAGTTAATCAAGGGTGTGCCATCCAGATGTGGTGCATGTATCACCCAACATGGTGGACACTCCAGGTATTGATCAACACGCCCAAAATTAATTTTAGACATTTATAATCATTACACCTTCACTATCATTTCATCAATTACCCTATTTTGTGTTGGTAGTAGGCTATATTCAAAACCTTTCTTCCCATGGTGTCAATATTTCTTCCCATGGTGATAACATTTCTTCCAAGGGCAATAATAGATCTTGCGATGACCATAACATATCTTCCCATAGCCATAACATAGTTTTTCACAGCCATAACATTTCTTCTCATGCTGATAACATCTATATTCATAGCTTCCAATGGGGATAACACATCTTCTCATGGTGATAACATATTTTCCCAGGGTCACAACATATCTTACCATGGTGATAACATATTTTTTCACAGCCATAACATTTCTTCCCATGCAGATAACATCTATTTTCATGGCCGTTACATAGCTTCCCATAGGAATAACACATCTTCTCATGGTCAAAACATATCTTCCCAGGGTCACAACATCTCTTTCCATGGAGATAATATATTTTTTCACAGCCATAACATTTATTCTCATGCAGATAACAGCTTACCATGGTCATAACATATCATGTTGATAACATATCTTCTCATGGGGATAACTTATCTTCCCATGATGATATCATATCTTCTCATGGTGATAATATATCTCATGTTGACAAAATAAATTCTCATGGTGATAACTTTTCTTCCAATGGTGATAACATATCTTCTCATGATGACAACATATCTTCTCATGGTGATAACTTATCTTCCCATGATGATAAGATTTCTTCCCATGGTGATAGCATTTCTATCCATGGCCATTACACATCTTCTCATGGGGAAATCATCTCTTCCCACAGTGCTAGGATCTCTTCCATAAAGGTTTCTCTGATCCTGAACACATGTCCCCACTACAGTCAGCGCAGTGTTTGTGGATGTCACTGAAGTGGAGATATCCAAGGTTTCAAGGCACTGTACGGGTTATTGAGGAGGTGTCAATGAGCATCCCGCAGGATCAACACATATCATAATATCTAACACCCCATTGAGTGTCATGTCCTCCTCGGCTCCAGTTTATGAGACAACTGGGTTAAAGTCCTCTGATTGTCAATCACACTGAGATTCCTGAAACATAAAACACTTGATATAATTAGCAGAAAACTTTCAGAATGTTTGTTTGTTCATTTGTTGTATAATGCCTCACTCAGCCATATTCCAGCTAAATATCAGCAGTCTGTCAATAATGGAGTCTGTGCAAGACAATCCGGGGACTGACATCATGAACATTGATTTATGCAATTAGGACACATACACCAACTAAGTCAGCAAGTCTGACCTCCCAATTGCAATCGCTTTAGTCACCTCTTGTAGCAAGGATTGGTTGCTGAAGACCAATTCTAACTTGGTTCTTCACTGGGTTTGTTAATAATGGTATTGGACAATCATTGAGGATTCAGTACCATCAACTCTCATTAAAATCAGATCTTATTATCTGCTTTGATATCCCTCAGCATGGAAATCTGACAAAACCTCAGGACTTGGCGTCCGCTTAACCTTGTGTGAACTTTGACCAAACAAGGTTTTTCTAGCCAACCTGATGTTTAAATGATTTGGCTTCACTAAACACTGGCATCTAACAAAGTGTATTAATGCAGCTTCTGTCCAAGATTTTGAAATTGATGGTCTGAAGAAAAGAAAACCACACAATACACAAATGTTCCCGAATTCTTTGGTCGCTCATACTGAGAACTAAGAAGCATCCATGCTGATTGTCAGATTTTCACGACTTATGGAATGCATAGATAGCTGTGTTGATACTTGCACCCTAGCTGCCAAAATTGTTCCATGTACTCATCTGCTTTTACTATCTGATATCCACAGGTCACTTCACCGTGAAGAGCTGCAAGATTGCTCAGCAATAACCACTCACTCACTCACTCACACCACAGGTCACTATTACATCTACTCGGTATATGATTTCAATCTCAGTAAACTTAGATCTTTGTTCTTGTGACCTCTCCACAAAGATCAGAGGACATCCCAATACAGGTCATACCTGTCGCAAACTAACCAATGAAATGACGAACAAGAGTCCACAATAGCCAATCAGATAGCTGTGAAAATGTCAACTTCAGTACAGATTTGGTGACCTCCACACTATCCCCTTGCCCACCGACAAGTAGTCACAGTAAATTCATCTTCTCATTCTATCAATGTGTACTTCTAGCCAGGTGCATACAGTTCCTGTTATAACCAATTTCTTCTAGGTGTATTCAATTCTCCATCCAATCAGTGTCTACTAGGTATATTCAATTCTCCATCCAATCAGTGTCTTCTAGGTGTATTCAATTCTCCATCCAATCAGTGTCTTCTAGGTGTATTCAATTCTCCATCCAAACAGTGTCTTCTAGGTGTATTCAATTCTCAATCCAATCAGTGTCTTCTAGGTATATTCAATTCTCCATCCAATCAGTGTCTACTAGGTGTATTCAATTCTCCATCCAATCAGTGTCTTCAAGGTGTATTCAATTCTCAATCCAATCAGTGTCTTCTAGGTGTTTTCAATTCTCCATCAAATCAGTGTCTACTAGGTGTATTCAATTCTCCATCCAAACAGTGTCTTCTAGGTGTTTTCAATTCTCCATCAAATCAGTGTCTACTAGGTGTATTCAATTCTCCATCCAAACAGTGTCTTCTAGGTGTATTCAATTCTCCATCCAATCAGTGTCTTCTAGGTGTATTCAATTCTCCATCCAATCAGTGTCTACTAGGTGTATTCAATTCTCCATCCAATCAGTGTCTTCAAGGTGTATTCAATTCTCAATCCAATCAGTGTCTTCTAGGTGTTTTCAATTCTCCATCAAATCAGTGTCTTCTAGGTATATTCAATTCTCCAACCAAACAGTGTCTTCTTGGTGTATTCAATTCTCCATCCAATCAGTGTCTTCTAGGTATATTCAATTCTTGATCCAATCAGTGCCTTGTAGTTGTATTCAATTCTCCATCCAATCAGTGTCTACTAGGTGTATTCAATTCTCAATCCAATCAGTGTCTTCTAGGTGTATTCAATTCTCCATCCAATCAGTTTCTTCTAGGTGTATTCAATTCTCCATCCAATCAGTGTCTTCTAGGTATATTCAATTCTCCATCCAACCAGTGTCTACTACGTATATTCAATTCTCCATCCAATCAGTGTCTACTAAGTTAAGTCTCCATCCAATCAGTGTCTACTAAGTTAAGTCTCCATCCAATCAGTGTCTACTAGGTATATTCAATTCTCCATCCAATCAGTGTCTACTAGGTATATTCAATTCTCCATCCTATCAGTGTCTACTAGGTATATTCAATTCTCCATCCAATCAGTATCTACTAGGTGTATTCAATTCTCCATCCAATCAGTGTCTACTAGGTGTATTTAGCTCGATGTTCAGTCAGTGTGTACAGGGTGTATTGAGTCCCTTGATCACTGAGTGTGTACTGGGTGTATTGTCCCTTGATCACTGAGTGTGTACTGGGTGTATTGTCCCTTGATCACTCAGTGTCTATTGGATGTATTGTCCCTTGATCACTCAGTGTGTACTGTGTGTATTGAGTCCCTTGATCACTCAGTGTCTACTGGATGTATTGTCCCTTGATCACTCAGTGTCTTCTAGATGTATTGTCCCTTGATCACTGAGTGTGTACTGGATGTATTGTCCCTTGATCACTCAGTGTCTACCGGATGTATTGTCTCTTGATCACTCAGTGTCTACTGGATGTATTGTCCCTTGATCACTCAGTGTGTACTGTGTGTATTGAGTCCCTTGATCATTCAGTGTGTACTTTGGTGCATTGAGTCCCTTGATCACTCAGTGTGTACTGTGTGTATTGAGTACCTTGATCACTCAGTGTCTACTGGATGTATCGAGTCCCTTGATCACTCAGTGTGTACTGGATGTATTGTCCCTTGATCTTTGAGTGTGTACTGGGTGTATTGTGTCCCTTGATCACTCAGTGTCTACTGGATGTATTGTCCCTTGATCAATCAGTGTCTACTGGATGTATCAAGTCCCTTGATCAATCAGTGTGTACTGTGTGTATTGAGTCCCTTGATCACTCAGTGTGTACTGGATGTATCGAGTCCCTTGATCTTTGAGTGTGTCCTGGGTGTATTGACCCGTGATCACTCAGTGTGTACTGTGTGTATTGAGTCCCTTGATCATTCAATGTGTACTGTGTGTATTGAGTCCCTTGATCACTCAGTGTGCACTGGGTGTATTGAGTCTCTTGATCAATCAGTGTGTACTGTGTGTATTGAGTCCCTTGATCACTCAGTGTGTACTGGGTGTATTGAGTCCCTTGATCATGGAGTGGGTACTGGGTGTATTGTCCCTTGATCTTTGAGTGTGTACTGGGTGTATTGAGTCCCTTGATCATTCAATGTGTACTGTGTGAATTGAGTCCCTTGATCACTCAGTGTCTACTGGATGTATTGTCCCTTGATCACTCAGTGTCTTCTGGATGTATTGTCCCTTGATCACTCAGTGTGTACTGTGTGTATTTGAGTCCCTTGATCACTCAGTGTGTACTGGATGTATTGTCCCTTGATCACTCAGTGTGTACTGTGTGTATTGAGTCCCTTGATCACTCAGTGTCTACTGGATGTATTGTCCCTTGATCACTCAGTGTCTTCTGGATGTATTGTCCCTTGATCACTCAGTGTGTACTGGGTGTATTATCCCTTGATCATTTAGTGTGTACTGGATGTATTGTCCCTTGATCACTGAGTGTGTACTGGATGTATTGTCCCTTGATCAGCCAGTGTCTACTGGATGTATTGAGTCCCTTGATCACTCAGTGTGTACTGGGTGGATTATCCCTTAATCATTCAGTGTGTACTGGGTGTATTGTGTCCCTTGATCACTCAGTGTCTACTGGATGTATTGAGTCCCTTGATCACTCAGTGTCTACTGGATGTATCGAGTCCCTTGATCACTCAGTGTGTACGGTGTGTATTGAGTCCCTTGATCACTCAGTGTGTACTGGATGTATCGAGTCCCTTGATCACTCAGTGTGTACTGGGTGTATTGACCAGTGATCACTCAGTATGTACTGTGTGTATTGAGTCCCTTGATCACTCAGTGTGTACTGGGTGTATTGTCCCTTGATCTTTGAGTGTGTACAGAGTGTATTGAGTCCCTTGATCATTCAGTGTGTACTGTGTGTATTGAATCCCTTGATCACTCAGTGTGTACTGGGTGTATTGAGTCCCTTGATCACGGAGTGTGTACTGGGTGTATTGTCCCTTGATCTTTGAGTGTGTACTGGGTGTATTGAGTCCCTTGATCATTCAATGTGTACTGGGTGTATTGAGTCCCTTGATCACTCAGTGTGTACTGTGTGTATTGAGTCCCTTGATCACTCAGTGTGTACTGTGTGTATTGAGTCTCTTGATCACTCAGTGTGTACTGGATGTATTGTCCCTTGATCACTCAGTGTCTACTGGATGTATTGTCCCTTGATCACTCAGTGTGTACTGTGTGTATTGAGTCCCTTAATCACTCAGTGTCTATTGGATGTATTGTCCCTTGATCACTCAGTGTGTACTGGGTGTATTGTCCCTTGATCACTCAGTGTCTACTGGATGTATTGTCCCTTGATCACTCAGTGTGTACTGTGTGTATTGAGTCCCTTAATCACTCAGTGTCTACTGGATGTATTGTCCCTTGATCACTCAGTGTCTACTGGATGTATTGTCCCTTGATCACTCAGTGTGTACTGTGTGTATTGAGTCCCTTAATCACTCAGTGTCTACTGGATGTATTGTCCCTTGATCACTCAGTGTGTACTGGGTGTATTATCCCTTGATCATTTAGTGTGTACTGGATGTATTGTCCCTTGATCACTGAGTGTGTACTGGATGTATTGTCCCTTGATCATCCAGTGTCTACTGGATGTATTGAGTCCCTTGATCACTCAGTGTGTACTGGGTGTATTATCCCTTGATCATTCAGTGTGTACTGGGTGTATTGTGTCCCTTGATCACTCAGTGTCTACTGGATGTATCGAGTCCCTTGATCACTCAGTGTGTACGGTGTGTATTGAGTCCCTTGATCACTCAGTGTGTACTGGGTGTATTGACCAGTGATCACTCAGTGTGTACTGTGTGTATTGAGTCCCTTGATCACTCAGTGTGTACTGGGTGTATTGTCCCTTGATCTTTGAGTGTGTACAGAGTGTATTGAGTCCCTTGATCATTCAGTGTGTACTGTGTGTATTGAATCCCTTGATCACTCAGTGTGTACTGGGTGTATTGAGTCCCTTGATCACGGAGTGTGTACTGGGTGTATTGTCCCTTGATCTTTGAGTGTGTACTGGGTGTATTGAGTCCCTTGATCATTCAATGTGTACTGGGTGTATTGAGTCCCTTGATCACTCAGTGTGCACTGTGTGTATTGAGTCCCTTGATCAATCAGTGTGTACTGGATGTATTGAGTCCCTTGATCATTCAGTTTGTACTGGGTGTATTTGTTATTAGTAGGAAGCAGTGTGATGACAATGTTACTAAAATCTATAGATGCGTGTGTTGTAGTAGACAAAGAAGGTTGGAGAGGCAGGTAAGTGAACTTAGGCTACTGACACTGAGTGACAATGTGTGATTAAGGAAACAGGATCTGAGGGGGTATATATATTTAATCATGCACTAGCTGGTTGTCAATGTGTGGAAGTGACTGAAAGAAATATGTCTCCTGCTTTTTGTTTCTTGTTGGACTGCAAAAATAACTGACCCTTGATCTTTGAGTGTGTACTGGGTGTATTGTCCCTTGATCACTCAGTGTGTACTGGATGTATTGTCCCTTGATCACTCAGTGTGTACTGTGTGTATTGCGTGCCTTGATCACTCAGTGTCTACTGGATGTATTGTCCCTTGATCACTCAGTGTCTACTGGATGTATCGAGTCCCTTGATCACTCAGTGTGTACTGGGTGTATTGTCCCTTGATCACTCAGTGTGTACTGTGTGTATTGAGTCCCTTGATCATTCAATGTGTACTGTGTGTATTCAGTCCCTTGATCACTCAGTGTGCACTGGGTGTATTGAGTCTCTTGATCAATCAGTGTGTACTGTGTGTATTGAGTCCCTTGATCACTCAGTGTGTACTGGGTGTATTGAGTCCCTTGACCACTCAGTGTGTACTGGGTGTATTGAGTCTCTTGATCAATCAGTGTGTACTGGGTGTATTGAGTCCCTTGATCACTCAGTGTGTACTGGGTGTATTGAGTCCCTTGATCACAGAGTGTGAACTGGGTGTATTGAGTCCCTTGATCACTCAGTGTGTACTGGGTGTATTGAGTCCCTGGATCATTCAATGTGTACTGTGCGTATTGAGTCCCTTGATCATGGAGTGTGTACTGTGTGTATTGAGTCCCTTGATCATTCAGTTTGTCCTGGGTGTATTGAGTCCCTTCATCATGGAGTGTGTACTGTGTGTATCGAGTCCCTTGATCACTCAGTGTGTACTGGGTGTATTGTGCCTTGATCACTCAGTGTGTACTGGATGTATTGTCCCTTGATCACTCATTGTGTACTGGGTGTATTGATTCCATCGATCACTCAGTGTGTACTGGGTGTATTGTCCCTTGATCACTCAGTGTGTACTGGGTGTATTGAGTCCCTTGATCACTCAGTGTGTACTGGGTGTATTGAGTCTCTTGATCACTCAGTGTGTACGTGGTGTATTGAGTCCCTTGATCACTCAGTGTGTCCTGGGTGTATTGAGTCCCTCAATCACTCAGTGTGTACTGGGTGTATTGAGTCTCTTGATCACTCAGTGTGTACGTGGTGTATTGAGTCCCTTGATCACTCAGTGTGTACTGTGTGTATTGAGTCCCTCAATCACTCAGTGTGTACTGGGTGTATTGAGTCCCTCAATCACTCAGTGTGTACTGGGTGTATTGAGTCCCTGGTGTGTCCTCCTTACCTGACATAGCTCCTCACATCAGGGCTTGTCTTCAGAGAGGGGGGAAGCTCCATATCTGGACATAATTCACAACAGGTATCAGCACACGTAAACTATGGCAGCAACAACTCATGATGGACTAAATATTACCCTCCCAAAACATGACTAGCATCATTCAGCATCATTCACATAATTTCATAAATGGTATACATTATATGGTCATGAGATCATCTTCATATCAGTAATTTGTACACTCTTTTTTAAGTACGGTAAATCTGGAAAGTTATGCACCACAAAATTATTGCAATTGTCTAACACAAACCTTAACTGCATCTGGACAGCTTTGCAACACCCTGATAAGACTACCAAAGATCAAAGCTAGACTTTTGCATGTGATATTTGTTATAAGTAGGAAGCAGTGTGATGACAATGTTACTAAAATCTATAGATGCGTGTGTTGTAGTAGACAAAGAAGGTTGGAGAGGCAGGTAAGTGAACTTAGGCTACTGACACTGAGTGACAACGTGTGATTAAGGAAACAGGATTTGAGGGGGTATATATATTTAATCATGCACTAGCTGGTTGTCAATGTGTGGAAGTGACTGAAAGAAATATGTCTCCTGCTTTTTGTTTCTTGTTGGACTGCAAAAATAACTGCGTCCTGAAACTATTGCAAGTGTGTGTCACTCGCAGTATTTTCTTCCTTGCAAAACTTTCCAGATTTACAGTATGTATATCTTATTCAGTCTGATAAAGAATAAAGCAGCAATAAAATCTTCAACATGAAAACATAATTTTTAAGAAAGGAGAAGCTTTTGTTCTCTGTTATATAAAAAATAAATTCACACACATTTTCTCTGAACTGGTCAATGAAATCATACTACACATGTAAGTATCATATGAACAATGTACATCAACAAATATTGCATTAGGACTTTGAGCATCCAGCCCAAAATCAAACACATCAGATATTAAACAAGACCTGTCTGTAACTAGTAGTCTGGCCTAGATATAGAAGTTAAACCTATCTATAAGAACACAGCACACAGATCATCAATTTCAGTCAGTACCAATGAGAACAGATCAGTTCTCTAAATAATTAAGTCCCTTCAATAGTGACCAGAGTCAGTTGGTTTACATCCAAAACCCATACAGTGGAACACCATCAGTGACAACACTGTCAATGTCGAAGACCCACCTTCAGACAGTTACTGCTTGGAATAGTGCCATGACACAATCAGAAATGGCTCCATACCCATGATCTGTTAATCCGTTAATCTGCATGATATCAGCGGAAACTCTATACCATGTTGGACGTAATGGGGTTTCAGTGTATGCAACACCAAGAGGTCAGTACATGGACAAACAGTCTCAGTAAATTCAGATCTTTTACTCCAAAAGATCTAAGAACACCACCATAAGAGGTGGTAATACATGCACCCTGAGAGACCTTTGACTGTCCAGACAAAATGTCTTGAGACAATCACAGTTTTCTAAATGATTTGGCTTCATTTCGTAACCACTTGAATTAAGAAATTTTGATCTTAGCAAAAGAAAACCGCAACACAACACAAAAATACTTTTGACGTTACAAACATTTGGGTATAGACGTAATGGCAGGATGCATAAAATATCCACCACAACATAACGGCAGAGCTACTCCCCGATCATATTCGCTTTTTCACATACGGAAGTCAGATATGCTGGTCTGAGTGCTTCCTTCACAGTTACCGAGAATTTAGAAGGATCGCCAATTTAGAAGGATCGCTCATTAGAAAGTTCTCAGCCTCGTATAGAGGTGTCCTCACATCTTGATCTTGTGAGGTATCATATCGGAGTATAAGGATGGACGAGATTGATGGACAAAAGACCTACCAAAAGGAACACTGCGACACACACGCACTGTCTTTATTGTCTGGCCAATCATGTGCTGCAACAAAAGACAACAATACTTATATTTGAAGATGATACTTGCATATTTGTTTCACACGAGCACAGTTGGTCAAGTAGCTGACAACCACAGTGGCACCTCATACGACTTCGCAACCCATGCCCCTCAAACTGATAATCAAACACAATGCCATTTTGTCACAGTTATCATTTTTTGTCAAGCCAGTAAATATTTAAAATAGTTTTCTTGTCCTTCGAGTTAAAGTTGTTATGCATTTTCATTGTGTGTCACTATATGTATATGTAATGTCATTAAATGGAGAATCTCACCCAAGGGTCTTTTGATATCAAATATATCAACACGAGTCGATAGGTGCTAGACGTACAGCCTGTAACTGTCATTCGGTGTACCCTGTGTTAATGTGTTCGAGGATGCATGATTAAACTAGAAATATCATTCAACTGTCACTTTCCCGATCTGGTAAACAACGTTCTGACTGGTGGGATGAAAGGTTGTTCTGATGTGCCCTGTAATGAGGTGTCCTCAGGTCTTTGCTTAGAGGTAGTGAGAACTAAGTGCTTATTTTGATGAAATTCATGTACATCAACAGTGCAGTGCACCAATCCCATGGCTTGCACCTTTAATTTAATTATTGAGGCATCTTGGCGTTTATAATCCATAAGTGTTTATTTTTTTGTTTTTTTAGCGCCGCACTCAGCAATACTCAAGCTATATGACAGCGGTCTGAAAATAATCGAGTCTGGACTAGACATTCCAGTGATTGGTATCATGAGCATCAATCCATGCAAGTGAGATACAATGACATGCATCAACCAAGTCAGCGAGCCTGACCACCTGATCCTGTTAGTCGCCTCTTATGACAAGCATGGGTTGCTGATGTCCGATTCCAACCTGGATCTTCACAAGTCTCCGTAAGTGTATTACTTTTCAACTTACCATCTTCTCAAAGTTGACCAGACGGTCAAAGTAGGTCTTATTTCCTTCATGGGTGAAGGTCATATCTAGATAAAAATAATTAATAAGAAGAATACATGACCTCTTAAACAATACATACAGTCCACATGTGACCAACATTCTTTAAAGAACAAATAGTTGTTTTCCAGTTTCACTTTCATATATGCTTAATCAATGAATATCCTGTTTAAACTGCCTTGGAAGATATGGAATTGTTTCACATTCCTCCCTAATTATGTTGTTGTGACAAGCACATTGATGGTTAGTTATGAGATTGGTTGCATATATGTTGTAACCTACATGTAATTTCACATTTACTTGAAGAGCTTTCATCACACATATTTTCCGATTAAAAATGAAATATTTCTCTGACAGGAACTGTCAGATTTTAAATATAATGTTAGACAGGTATAGTCAGACAAGAACAGCAGTTGGGAATAGTTGTACAGGAATAGTCAGACAAGAGTAGTCAGACAGGAATAATGTAAGACAGGAATAGCAGTTGGGAATAGTTGTACAGGAATAGTCTGACAACAGTAGTAAGACAGGAATAATGTTAGGAATAGCAGAGACATAGACAGACAAGAATAGCAGACACATAGACAGACAGGAATAGCAGACAAATATACAGAGAGGAATAGCAGACACATAGACAGACAGGAATAGCAGACACATAGACAGACAGGAATAGCAGACACATAGACAGACAGGAATAGCAGACACATATACAGACAGGAATAGCAGACACATAGACAGACAGGAATAGCAGACAAATATACAGAGAGGAATAGCAGACACATAGACAGACAGGAATAGCAGACACATAGACAGACAGGAATAGCAGACACATAGACAGACAGGAATAGCAGACACATAAAGAGACAGGAATAGCAGACACATAGACAGACAGGAATAGCAGACACATATACAGACAGGAATAGCAGACACATAGACAGACAGGAATAGCAGACACATAGACAGACAGGAATAGCAGACACATAGACAGACAGGAATAGCAGACACATATACAGACAGGAATAGCAGACACATATACAGACAGGAATAGCAGACACATAGACAGACAGGAATAGCAGACACATAGACAGACAGGAATAGCAGACACATAGACAGACAGGAATAGCAGACACATAGACAGACAGGAATAGCAGACACATAGACAGACAGGAATAGCAGACACATAGACAGACAGGAATAGCAGACACATAGACAGACAGGAATAGCAGACACATAGACAGACAGGAATAGCAGACACATATACAGACAGGAATAGCAGACACATAGACAGACAGGAATAGCAGACACATATACAGACAGGAATAGCAGACACATAGACAGACAGGAATAGCAGACACATAGACAGACAGGAATAGCAGACACATATACAGACAGGAATAGCAGACACATAGACAGACAGGAATAGCAGACACATAGACAGACAGGAATAGCAGACACATATACAGACAGGAATAGCAGACACATAGACAGACAGGAATAGCAGACACATAGACAGACAGGAATAGCAGACACATAGACAGACAGGAATAGCAGACACATAGACAGACAGGAATAGCAGACACATATACAGACAGGAATAGCAGACACATAGACAGACAGGAATAGCAGACACATAGACAGACAGGAATAGCAGACACATAGACAGACAGGAATAGCAGACACATATACAGACAGGAATAGCAGACACATAGACAGACAGGAATAGCAGACACATAGACAGACAGGAATAGCAGACACATAGACAGACAGGAATAGCAGACACATAGACAGACAGGAATAGCAGACACATAGACAGACAGGAATAGCAGACACATAGACAGCGGGAAGAGCAGACACATAGACAGACAGGAATAGCAGACACATAGACAGACAGGAATAGCAGACACATATACAGACAGGAATAGCAGACACATAGACAGACAGGAATAGCAGACACATAGACAGACAGGAATAGCAGACACATAGACAGGAATAGCAGACACATAGACAGACAGGAATAGCAGACACATAGACAGGAATAGCAGACACATATACAGACAGGAATAGCAGACACATAGACAGACAGGAATAGCAGACACATAGACAGACAGGAATAGCAGACACATATACAGACAGGAATAGCAGACACATAGACAGACAGGAATAGCAGACACATAGACAGACAGGAATAGCAGACACATATACAGACAGGAATAGCAGACACATAGACAGACAGGAATAGCAGACACATAGAAAGACAGGAATAGCAGACACATATACAGACAGGAATAGCAGACACATAGACAGACAGGAATAGCAGACACATAGACAGACAGGAATAGCAGACACATATACAGACAGGAATAGCAGACACATAGACAGACAGGAATAGCAGACACATAGACAGACAGGAATAGCAGACACATATACAGACAGGAATAGCAGACACATAGACAGACAGGAATAGCAGACACATAGACAGACAGGAATAGCAGACACATAGACAGACAGGAATAGCAGACACATAGACAGCGGGAAGAGCAGACACATAGACAGACAGGAATAGCAGACACATAGACAGACAGGAATAGCAGACACATAGACAGACAGGAATAGCAGACACATAGACAGCGGGAAGAGCAGACACATAGACAGACAGGAATAGCAGACACATAGACAGACAGGAATAGCAGACAAATATACAGACAGGAATAGCAGACACATAGACAGACAGGAATAGCAGACACATAGACAGACAGGAATAGCAGACACATAGACAGGAATAGCAGACAAATAGACAGACAGGAATATCAGACACATAGACAGACAGTAATCGCAGACACATAGACAGACAGGAATAGCAGACACATAGACAGACAGGAAGAGCAGTCACATAGACAGACAGGAATATCAGACACATAGACAGACAGGAATAGCAGACACATAAAGAGACAGGAATAGCAGACACATAGACAGACAGGAATAGCAGACAAATAGACAGACAGGAATATCAGACACATAGACAGACAGTAATCGCAGACACATAGACAGACAGGAATAGCAGACACATAGACAGACAGGAAGAGCAGTCACATAGACAGACAGGAATATCAGACACATAGACACACAGGAATAGCAGACACATAAAGAGACAGGAATAGCAGACACATAGACAGACAGGAATAGCAGACACATAGACAGACAGGAATAGCAGACACATAGACAGACAGGAAGAGCAGACACATAGACAGACAGGAATAGCAGACACATAGAGAGACAGGAATAGCAGACACATAGAGAGACAGGAATAGTGAGACATGAATAGTCAGATAGGAATAGCTAGACTGTAATAGAAGACAGCAACAGATAGGAATAGCATGACATCATTTCCTGACATTTGTGAAGTTGAGCAAAATATAAATCACTGTTTTTTCTGGTCAAGATTTGATTGTTTTCAGGCCACAGTCATACAGCTGAATATTGCTGAGTGCTGTGTCTAACGACCACAAACAAAACCTGCACTCACCTTTCATGAGGAGGGGCATGAAGGGAATGATGGGGGGAGTCATCTTGGATGCATTCACCCGGTATGATCGGTGGTTGCGGGAGGGGTCCATGTTGGTTTCAAACTCAGCAAACATTCGTTTGAACTTGCTTGGCAACTTCTGAAATGAAGTTATGAAATGGTTACTGGCCTGACTTGAACACTTTCACATTCTGGAGCCAGAATATTTCTACAGCAATGACTCAAGACTCAATTACTTTCTCTGAAAGGGAGAGTCCAATAAAAAACATAATTTGCAACATATTGTTATTTTTTCTTATCAGGATAAAGATTAAAATTCAAATTTCAACATGTCCTAATTGATGAATGAGGAAACAAATGTCAAAACAGCATCTGACACAGAAATAAACTGCTATCTATGATGACAAGAAATCTTTAACATGAAACATAATTCACAGACTCCTTCAAAGCGTATGATCTTCTCTGTATCTGTTTCATTTTCCAACCCTCTAAAATTGTCAAAAAACATTTCATTGTAAAAAAGAGGAGCTACACATAATGCATTTTCAGATTTACAGGTGTTGTTGAATATTTGATGCCTGCAAATTTTAACATTTGAAACCTAACATTAACATACAAGACCAAGGTGACTGCAAATAAACCACATGCAATTTGTGTTTGATAATTACATATATAAATTTTATGTTTAATCTGCAGAAAAATATCCCTGCACCCAGCCCCACGCTACATTCCCAATCTAATTCTACATGTGATGTTCATGTAATTCTCTTTGCATTAATATGTTTAAGTTATTATTCTTTTAAGAGTTATGTCCATCAAACATTCCTCAAGGATCATGACGCATGTCGACATCGTGTGTGGTTGAGGCAGACACAGTGCCAGCAAGAGTTACCTCCCATGTCTGTGACAGTCTGCTGACTGCAATGTTGCTCAGGCCCATCACGATGGCGAAGAAGGACTGAATGTTCTTATGCTCTTTGCAACTGAAACAATTAAAAAATGATGATGATGGTGATAATGATGATGATCATAATGATGGTCAATAACAATATTACAGTGAAGAATCCATTTCCTAAAAGCGTGCTTATGCTGTTTTAAGTATGTAAGTTCATGGATCTGAGCACATTTATATTTCAATCTCAGCTCCCTGGGGAGTATAAATCCTATTTTTCAAGAAAAACAAAATCTTCTAAAACTTCAAACATAAAATTTGTATATTTAGACCTATTCTGGTCACAAAATGTCCATGTGGTTGATTTGACCCACAGACCTTCTGATCTGAGGTCGGATGTCTTGTCCACATGACTCAAGAGGTTAACCCCATCTGTAAGCTGACACGATAAGGATGTCATCTGTGGGATGCCTCCACACTCTGCTGACCCGTGAAGATTCCGGGGTAGAACAGGTCTTCAGCAACCCATACTTGCTGTAAAAGGCGACTATGCTTGTCGTAAAAGGCTACTAACGGGATCGGGTGGTCAGGCCTGTTGACTTGGTTGATACATGTCATCGATTGCATGGATTGATGCTCATGATATCAATCACTGGATTGTCTGGTCCAGACTCGATTATTTACAGACCGCCGTCATATAGCTGGAATATTGCTGAGTGCGACATTAAACAACAAACCAACCAGCCACACTCTGCTACAAACACATGCATGACAGAACAATCCTACAACTCACTGTGCAGCGACCTTGATGAACTTGCGGAGCAGCTGGACCCGCTTGCTGACATTCTGCGTCAGCACCATCTCCGTGACGATCCAGTACTGGATCTCATTGAAGCGTCGGAGAAATAAATCCAGGTTGGCTGTGATTTTGTTGAACTTGTGACGACCGAACACCTGATAGATCAGCTCGTACTGGGAACAGCAGCAAAATAGTGCAGTTTAGTCAGTGACAGTAGTAACAGTAACAGTAGTAACAGTGACAGTAGTAACGGTAACAGTAGTAACGGTAACAGTAGTAACAGTGACAGTAGCAACAGTAACAGTGACAGTAGTAACAGTGACAGTAGTAACAGTGACAGTAGCAACAGTAACAGTGACAGTAGTAACAGTGACAGTAGTAACAGTGACAGTAGCAACAGTAACAGTGACAGTAGTAACAGTGACAGTAGTAACAGTGACAGTAGTAACAGTGACAGTAGCAACAGTAACAGTGACAGTAGTAACAGTGACAGTAGCAACAGTGACAGTAGCAACAGTAACAGTGACAGTAGTAACAGTGACAGTAGCAACAGTAACAGTGACAGTAGTAACAGTGACAGTAGCAACAGTAACAGTGACAGTAGTAACAGTGACAGTAGTAACAGTGACAGTAGTAACGGTAACAGTAGTAATGGTAACAGTAGTAACAGTGACAGTAGCAACAGTAACAGTGACAGTAGTAACAGTGACAGTAGTAACAGTGACAGTAGTAAGGGTAACAGTAGTAACGGTAACAGTAGTAACAGTGACAGTAGCAACAGTAACAGTGACAGTAGTAACAGTGACAGTAGTAACAGTGACAGTAGTAACAGTGACAGTAGTAACAGTGACAGTAGTAACAGTAACAGTGACAGTAGTAACAGTGACAGTAGTAACAGTGACAGTAGCAACAGTGACAGTAGTAACAGTGACAGTAGTAACAGTGACAGTAGTAACAGTGACAGTAGTAACAGTGACAGTAGCAACAGTGACAGTAGTAACAGTGACAGTAGTAACAGTGACAGTAGCAACAGTAACAGTGACAGTAGTAACAGTGACAGTAGTAACAGTGACAGTAGTAACAGTGACAGTAGTAACAGTGACAGTAGTAACAGTGACAGTAGCAACAGTAACAGTGACAGTAGTAACAGTGACAGTAGTAACAGTGACAGTAGCAACAGTAACAGTGACAGTAGTAACAGTGACAGTAGCAACAGTAACAGTGACAGTAGCAACAGTGACAGTAGTAACAGTGACAGTAGTAACAGTGACAGTAGTAACAGTGACAGTAGCAACAGTAACAGTGACAGTAGTAACAGTGACAGTAGTAACAGTTACAGTAGCAACAGTAACAGTGACAGTAGTAACAGTGACAGTAGCAACAGTAACAGTGACAGTAGCAACAGTGACAGTAGTAACAGTGACAGTAGTAACAGTGACAGTAGTAACAGTGACAGTAGCAGTAGTAACAGTGACAGTAGTAACAGTAACAGTGACAGTAGTAACAGTGACAGTAGTAACAGTGACAGTAGCAACAGTAACAGTGACAGTAGTAACAGTGACAGTAGTAACAGTGACAGTAGCAACAGTAACAGTGACAGTAGTAACAGTGACAGTAGTAACAGTGACAGTAGCAACAGTAACAGTGACAGTAGTAACAGTGACAGTAGTAACAGTGACAGTAGCAACAGTAACAGTGACAGTAGTAACAGTGACAGTAGTAACAGTGACAGTAGTAACAGTGACAGTAGTAACAGTGACAGTAGCAGTAGTAACAGTGACAGTAGTAACAGTGACAGTAGTAACAGTGACAGTAGTAACAGTGACAGTAGCAACAGTAACAGTGACAGTAGTAACAGTGACAGTAGTAACAGTGACAGTAGTAACAGTGACAGTAGTAACAGTAACAGTGACAGTAGTAACAGTGACAGTAGTAACAGTGACAGTAGTAACAGTGACAGTAGTAACAGTGACAGTAGTAACAGTGACAGTAGCAACAGTAACAGTGACAGTAGCAACAGTGACAGTGACAGTAGCAACAGTGACAGTAGTAACAGTGACAGTAGTAACAGTGACAGTAGTAACAGTGACAGTAGTAACAGTGACAGTAGTAACAGTGACAGTAGCAACAGTGACAGTAGTAACAGTGACAGTAGTAACAGTGACAGTAGCAACAGTAACAGTGACAGTAGCAACAGTGACAGTAGTAACAGTGACAGTAGTAACAGTGACAGTAGTAACAGTGGCAGTAGTAACAGTGACAGTAGTAACAGTGACAGTAGTAACAGTGACAGTAGTAACAGTGACAGTAGCAACAGTGACAGTAGTAACAGTGACAGTAGTAACAGTGACAGTAGTAACAGTGACAGTAGTAACAGTGACAGTAGCAACAGTAACAGTGACAGTAGTAACAGTGACAGTAGTAACAGTGACAGTAGTAACAGTGACAGTAGTAACAGTGACAGTAGTAACAGTGACAGTAGCAACAGTAACAGTGACAGTAGTAACAGTGACAGTAGTAACAGTAACAGTGACAGTAGTAACAGTGACAGTAGTAACAGTGACAGTAGTAACAGTGACAGTAGTAACAGTGACAGTAGTAACAGTGACAGTAGTAACAGTGACAGTAGCAACAGTAACAGTGACAGTAGTAACAGTGACAGTAGTAACAGTGACAGTAGCAACAGTAACAGTGACAGTAGTAACAGTGACAGTAGTAACAGTGACAGTAGCAACAGTAACAGTGACAGTAGTAACAGTGACAGTAGTAACAGTGACAGTAGCAACAGTAACAGTAACAGTAGCAACAGTGACAGTAGTAACAGTGACAGTAGTAACAGTGACAGTAGTAACAGTGCCAGTAGTAACAGTGACAGTAGTAACAGTGACAGTAGTAACAGTGACAGTAGTAACAGTGACAGTAGCAACAGTAACAGTGACAGTAGTAACAGTGACAGTAGCAACAGTAACATTTACAGTAGCAACAGTGACAGTAACAACAGTGACAGTAGTAACAGTGACAGTAGTAACAGTGACAGTAGTAACGGTAACAGTAGTAATGGTAACAGTAGTAACAGTGACAGTAGCAACAGTAACAGTGACAGTAGTAACAGTGACAGTAGCAGTAGTAACAGTGACAGTAGCAGTAGTAACAGTGACAGTAGTAACAGTGACAGTAGCAACAGTGACAGTAGCAACAGTAACAGTGACAGTAGTAACAGTGACAGTAGCAACAGTAACAGTGACAGTAGTAACAGTGACAGTAGCAACAGTAACAGTGACAGTAGCAACAGTGACAGTAGTAACAGTGACAGTAGTAACAGTGACAGTAGCAACAGTAACAGTGACAGTAGCAACAGTGACAGTAGTAACAGTGACAGTAGTAACAGTGACAGTAGTAACAGTGCCAGTAGTAACAGTGACAGTAGTAACAGTGACAGTAGTAACAGTGACAGTAGTAACAGTGACAGTAGCAACAGTAACAGTGACAGTAGTAACAGTGACAGTAGCAACAGTAACATTTACAGTAGCAACAGTGACAGTAACAACAGTGACAGTAGTAACAGTGACAGTAGTAACAGTGACAGTAGTAACGGTAACAGTAGTAATGGTAACAGTAGTAACAGTGACAGTAGCAACAGTAACAGTGACAGTAGCAGTAGTAACAGTGACAGTAGCAGTAGTAACAGTGACAGTAGCAGTAGTAACAGTGACAGTAGCAGTAGTAACAGTGACAGTAGCAGTAGTAACAGTGACAGTAGTAACAGTGACAGTAGCAACAGTGACAGTAGCAACAGTAACAGTGACAGTAGTAACAGTGACAGTAGCAACAGTAACAGTGACAGTAGTAACAGTGACAGTAGCAACAGTAACAGTGACAGTAGCAACAGTGACAGTAGTAACAGTGACAGTAGCAACAGTAACAGTGACAGTAGTAACAGTGACAGTAGTAACAGTGACAGTAGTAACAGTGACAGTAGCAGTAGTAACAGTGACAGTAGTAACAGTGACAGTAGTAACAGTGACAGTAGCAACAGTAACAGTGACAGTAGTAACAGTGACAGTAGTAACAGTGACAGTAGTAACAGTGACAGTAGCAACGGTAACAGTAGTAATGGTAACAGTAGTAACAGTGACAGTAGCAACAGTAACAGTGACAGTAGTAACAGTGACAGTAGCAACGGTAACAGTAGTAATGGTAACAGTAGTAACAGTGACAGTAGCAACAGTAACAGTGACAGTAGTAACAGTGACAGTAGCAACAGTAACAGTGACAGTAGCAACAGTGACAGTAGTAACAGTGACAGTAGCAACAGTAACAGTGACAGTAGTAACAGTGACAGTAGTAACAGTGACAGTAGTAACAGTGACAGTAGTAACAGTGACAGTACCAGTAGTAACAGTGACAGTAGTAACAGTGACAGTAGTAACAGTGACAGTAGCAACAGTAACAGTGACAGTAGTAACAGTGACAGTAGTAACAGTGACAGTAGTAACAGTGACAGTAGCAACGGTAACAGTAGTAATGGTAACAGTAGTAACAGTGACAGTAGCAACAGTAACAGTGACAGTAGTAACAGTGACAGTAGTAACAGTGACAGTAGTAACAGTGACAGTAGTAATGGTAACAGTAGTAACAGTGACAGTAGCAGTAGTAACAGTGACAGTAGTAACAGTGACAGTAGTAACAGTGACAGTAGTAACGGTAACAGTAGTAATGGTAACAGTAGTAACAGTGACAGTAGCAACAGTAACAGTGACAATAGTAACAGTGACAGTAGTAACAGTGACAGTAGCAACAGTAACAGTGACAGTAGTAACAGTGACAGTAGTAACAGTGACAGTAGCAGTAGTAACAGTGACAGTAGTAACAGTGACAGTAGCAACAGTGACAGTAGCAACAGTAACAGTGACAGTAGTAACAGTGACAGTAGCAACAGTAACAGTGACAGTAGTAACAGTGACAGTAGCAACAGTAACAGTGACAGTAGCAACAGTGACAGTAGTAACAGTGACAGTAGCAACAGTAACAGTGACAGTAGTAACAGTGACAGTAGTAACAGTGACAGTAGTAACAGTGACAGTAGTAACAGTGACAGTAGCAGTAGTAACAGTGACAGTAGCAGTAGTAACAGTGACAGTAGTAACAGTGACAGTAGTAACAGTGACAGTAG